CTCGCATTGACGTAGCAAAGAGCTAGCCGCGACCCAACCACCCCATTTCGCCCACCCAACCCACTATTGCAGGTGCCCGTCAACCACTTTTTGAATATATCAAAACTTGGCCCTGCCTTTCTCTCTCCATATACCCCCACTACAACCATTCCCACCGCACTCTCCACTGGCACCAGCTGCAACCGTTCGCTGTTGTCAATCACGGGCCATTGGACGATCCTGCCCTGTTGACGAATTTTTGGCCAGGTACGCGAGCTCCAACAACACGACGTGTCGCAGCAATTCACCGCTGCCGCCGCCTCGCAAAGCCTTTGTTGTTTGTTTGTTAGGCACCGTGTACTAAAGGCAGTCGCAGCTCAACCCTCTTGTACCCGCTCAACCATGGCGCGCCTCAGTGGCCTCCCATCAGAGCACCACCACGAAGGTCCCGGTGACGCTCCTCGACGCAAACGCGGCCGCCCGTCTAAGAACCAGACAACCGACGACATGTCATCTGTTGGCAAGCGAACCGCCTCGCCCTCAGCGGAGCTCTCTCAGACGAAGCGCACCAAGCGCCTCCAGACCATCGAGGACGATGACGAGGACCAGATCGCCGAAGAGAGGCGGCAGTCCTTCTCGCGCTCGCAGCGGGGAGACAATGTTCATGTCCAGGAGCAGAGCACCAGCACCACGCGCCGCTACAACCGCCGACACTCTGAGCCTCCAGTCGCCGCCGATGACGAGGACGACGAGCTCATGTTCAACCGACCCGCCTCTACACAGCCGCTACCTGGCCTGACACCCCATCTCGACCGTGTCGGTGCCTCCCGCAGCCGCTTCACCAACACCCGCCGCGCCCGCATGTCCATGCCAGCTCAGCTGCACGTTGAGCGTGTCGACGAGGTCGAGAACAACGGCAACCGCGTTCAGTTTGCGCCCCTCACACAAGTCCTGGATGGCCGCGCGCGTCGCCGCCTCCGCCGAAGCCATCTGAGCCAGGAAGTAAACGACTTCGAAGACCACCAGAAGAAGGACAAGAGGATGTTCCTGGAGCTACGTCGTCAGCTCAAGGCCCAGGATGACAAGATCAAGGACCTGGAATACCGCCTCGAAGCCCGCCGGTTAGGTGAGATCGACATCGCAGACGCAGACGCGAATGATCTGCAAGTGGAACTGGACGAGGCCCGTCAACAGATTGACGAGCTACGCGCTTCTTCCCTGTACAATGGTGACGACAATGAACCAGTTGACATGTCCGATGACGAAGACGGTATGGTCATGGTCAACCCTGACGAGCTGAACATGTCGCAAGATCTTGACATGGAGCCGACACCCGTTGGCAAGTACTCTTCCCGCGCGCTAGAGATTTCCAGCCAGATGACACTCGAATCCCTGCCATCTCTATCGCAACTTAGCCGTGACAATCTCATCGAAGGCGAGGATATCATAATGGACAAGATCGAAGATGAGGCCGTCGAGCGCTACGAGCGGGAGCTGAAGCAGATGAGCAAGGCCTTGGGTGAGTCTCAAGGTGCGCTGCGCTTGATCACCATCGAGCTTCAGAACCTTCGCTTCATTGAGGCTGGTGCTTCTTCGAGCGAAATTCTGACCGACTTGCGCCATGGTTTCGAGGACCTTCGCGCTGAGATTGAGAAATTCTTCCCCGGTACCACCGTTGGTCTTACCAACCAACAACTTCTTCAAAAGGTTCCTGAGCTCTTCAGCGGCCTCTTCTTTGAGCTCAAGCAGCAGCTCTCTCAAATCAGCATCTCTCAAAAGGCCGAAGTGCTTGTCCGACGACAATACGAGGGTGTTCTCGACCTGCTGGGCGAATCAGACGAGCGCGTGAAGCAGTTAGAGTCAGACGTCTTCACACTCGATAAGGCAAACGAGGACAAGGCGCGCGCCATTCTTGATCTCGAGGAGCGGAACGCTGCCCTGACGGAACTTTCTAACCAACAGGAACTCACTCTCGCCGAACAAGATAGCGCAATCGCTGGTCTGCAAGATGAGAACCAAGACAAGGACGTCTCCCTGGCACGACTACGCGAAGCTCTCGAAAAGTATCGTGTGGACCTCGACAACGTCACCGCCGCCGCAACCGAATTCGAGACGAACCACCACGAGACGATCGCACGCATGGAACAGGAATACACCGAGCGCATCCAGGCTCTGGAGGCAAACCTCGATGCCGAGCAGGAAGGTCGCGATGCTGCCGAGGCCGAAGTAAAGCAAAAAGATGCTTACATCGAGGAGTTGGAGGACAGTATTGCGCGCATGGAGACCGATGTCGATAACATCACCACCGACATGACTACTCTCAGAGAGCGTCTGGCTGCGCAGACCGCCGCCCGCGAGACTGCGGAGGGCGAGCGTGATGACCAGATCGAGCAGGTCTACCAGCACGCCAACACCATCGAAAACCTCAACGAGGCCATCGTTGAACTCAAGGAACAGCTTGCCAACACCCGAGAGAATCTAGGTTCTGAACGTGCTCAACGCGAGAAGACCGAGGCTGATCTTGACGAGGCGAATGACAAGATCGAAGATCTCACCACCCGCCTCCACGACACTGGCCTTCAGGCTAATGAGCTGCGATCCAAGCTTTTCCAACTCCAACAAGAGAAGGAGACCGCTCTGGCAGAGCTGCAAGAAGACGCCGATGAGCGCGAGCTTGAACTGAACAACCTGCTCGATGCAGAGACTGAGCTGCGTCAGACTAAGGAGAACACAATTGGTCAGTTGGAGCAGCAGATCCTCGGCCTTGAGAGTGATATCGCGACACTTGAGAACAACCTGTCTGACATGACCGATGCTCGCGATCAGCTCGAGCAGGATCGTGACGTCCAAGTCGCCAACCTTGCTGCTCAGCTCGCTGACCTGAAGACCAAGTACATGGCGCTGGAGAACTCCACCAACTCCACCATCACCTCACTCCAGGCCAACATCACGGACCTTAACAACCAGATCCAACGGCAACAAGCTGAGATCAACGATCTCTTCGAGCAGGTCACTGAGAAGGAGCGCATCTACCTTGAGGATACGACTGCCCTCCAGGGAAGGATCGATTCTCTTGAGGAGGATCTCACGGTTCAGAAGGCGGAGAACGAAGGCTACCGCAAGGAGAACTTGTCTCTCTCAAGGCGTGTTGAGTCCGAGGCCAACGAGCTTCTGAACATTGTCGACGCCCACGCTAACGAGGTTAATGCCCTTAATGCTGTCATCAAGACACAAGAGGCCACCATCAAGAGCCTTCAAGATGCCTCTGCGAAGCGCACTACGGAGTACGAGGAGATGATTGAGGAGCGTACAACTGAGCTCACAGAGATGCGTCTGCTAGGTGAAGCTCGCCTCGAGACCATCATACTTCTGGAGGCCCAGATCGAGGAGATGAAGGAACGCTTCCGTCTTGCTGAAGAAGACACTCGTGCCACCATCGACGCCCTCACTGCCTCGCAACGTCAACTCCAGGAACAGAATGAGCGTCTTGCTGATGACTTGAAGCGCCGCAACCAGGACGCTCTCCAAGCCGTCCAAGAAATGAAGCTCAAGCGTGTTGAAGTCAAGACCCAAGGCGTGGGCGACCTCCACCGTGTCGCTAATGGCAAGGTCTTGAAGACCAGCGAAAAGGTCAAGATTGGAAAGAAGGGCAAGAAGAAGGTCTCTTCTAGGCGTCAATGGGACTCCGGCTTCGGCGTTGATGAGAATGTCGAAGACGAGGAGCTCAACGCAGAGGAGCCACTTGCTGCATAGAGTGCAGTAGCTGATGATTGCAAGTTCGCTTGACTTTGCAGGTTCAGGTTATATTTGGGTCCTATGTTGTTGCTGTCACTGCAGAGCAGTATTTTTGTCTTTTCTTTTCCCTTATATTTTTGGACACATTACTTTGGGTAACAGATTGTTTCGTTTGTCATGATACATCCGGCGCTGGCATTTGCTATCTTACGACTCGACGACCTGGCTTCAACGCTTTGTTTGATAGGATAAATGGTGGTAACGATATCGCAGTGTATTGCATAGCGCACGGTGCCTGGGTTCCAGTTATGGTCACGGGCAAAAGAAGTAGTGTAATGACCCTTGTTCTATCTTGTACAGATTCTCCTTTTTTATCATCAATCACAACAACAAGATCAGAACTCCCCCCTTTCCATTCGCATCACTGCATCCGTGAAAGAACCTTGTACGAGCATGTTGTCTCCCAGGATGCTGGTTAAACGTTTTGGAGCCTTGCGTGGCCCCAACGTTGAACGCTGGACGGGAACTGTCAACATGGGTCTTCCCGTCGTGTTCTCGTATCCCTGAAACAGATCTGCAACAACGCGTTACGTTGCCTATCAATCGGTCCGCACCCCACCCAGCAATCGAAAGTTTAGCAACTTCCGAGGACCAAAGGCAACCCAAAATCATTCAACTCCTTTTCTTTTCTTTTCTTCCCTTCCCTTTACTCATCACCGGCTCCACATATTCACGCCTAGCAAGTATCCCTCCCCTTCTCATCGACAACACAGGCCAAGCACAATGGGTAGCAGCAGCCTCAATCCATCCTCTCCTCGCGACGATGAAACTGTGCTCTTCCTCTTCATCGCCTTTGCTATTCTCATCGTCCTTCTACTTCTGCTGGTGTTGATCTCGTGCCAGACGTGGATGTTGTGGAAGATGGCAAAGGCGGTTGTTGAGCAGGACACTCAGATTACGCAGCGAGGACGAAAGGGACATACATATGGTAGTAATGAAGGAAGTAAGAGGAGGAGTGTTAGAGGCAGTATTTATACCGATGGGGAGGAAGAAAGGAAGTTGATGAGTGGAGGCAGTGGTAATGGACTAGAGGGAAAGAGGAGGACGGGGGTTTGGGGAGTCGGAGGGTGGGTTTGAGGTGGATGAGTTTTGCACTTTAAAGTAGGAGGGATTTGGGAAGGTCGTAGGGACGATAACTTTGATTTGGTACGTTACAAGAGGACAAAAACCAAGGATAGACAGCAGGGGCTGAAAAATGCTACGCAACGACACGCCCGACTTTTACCTCACACCACCAGTTCCGCCTTTGGCTTCAACAACATATCCTCCAAAACTCGATACTCTTCCCTCAAAGCCGCGACTTCCTGTCTCAACGCTCTTTGGTCCTCAGAGAAGCATCTCATCTCCTCCACTACGGACTTTGCCTCATTCACACTGGCTGAACCTATCTCATTCGACTTTTTCACAGGCGGTCTGTCAACAGCGTGCAAACGATCACGAGAAACGCCCTGTGGAGCGGGTGAATGCAAGATACTTGGTGAGGTGTTGGGTAGCGGGGTACTCAAGGCATGGATACTGAGTTGATGATGTTGTGGTAGTGATGGATTGGGTGCGTTGGAAGAAGTTATCGATTGATCGGTATCTTCGGCAAGACCAGCATCTACAAGATCTGCATCTTTGACCGCGCCTGAGATTGAGCGGGAGTATACGCTGCTAGGTGAATTTGCTCGAGTGTCAAGCGAGTTCGTCATGGGCTGCCGTGGTAGAACTGGTGTTAGGTTGCGATGGTTGTAGTTTTGGAAAAGATTACTTTTAGCTAGAAGGCCAGGTGCGGGGTAGTAGAGGCTTTCGAGCGAAGATGAAGAGTCTGCTGCTGTGGTGGCGGCGGCGGCGGCGGCGAATGCGTGGTCTCGAGGAGCTTTTGATCTAGGAACCGTATTGCTCGGGCATGCCATGTCGTTTACGCTCTCATCGGCAACCGAGTCTCTTCTCGTGCTTGGCGTTGAGCATGAACATGTATTGCTGGGCCATTCTGTCTCTGAGTCGATTCTTCTGAGAGCAGGCTTCAATATTGGAAGATTAGGTCTATCTGGGAGGGTAGAACTCAGATCCAATTCAAGCTCTCGTGTTTTGCTCAATGAACGCCTCTCAAACATCTGAGCGGCGGGACGGAAGTACAGACTGCTCGAGCTACCCAAGGGAGAGGACGATCCTGGGTCGGCTATAGTTACGTGTCGCTGAGCTTTTGGCACGACCCGTGACCCGCTCGGTGCTTCCGCCACAGTCTCTTGATGCTCAACAGACTCCTCCTTCATCATGCCAGATGTTGGACGAGAGTACAGACTGTTGGGTGTGTTGAGCGCAGTGGGAGAGGACTGTGGGAAGGGCACTGGACGGATCGTCGTTGAGGTTGAGGTAATCAGTGGTGATTCTGAACTCATATGACGCTGTGACGCCTTTGGCTTGCGTCTTCGCGTGGAAGGAGGTGTAAACCATTCTTCCTTCGAAAAGTGCGAATCATCAGACGAGCTGAGCGACCTATGAGGAGCGGAGAAGAGCTGTGCCCGCGACGGGGCTGGTACACTTGGCATCTGATGTACTTCGGGCCATCTCCGACTTTCTTGTATTGGAGGATCGAGTTTGGGTCGAGATTTTGCGGCGCCGACATCAAAGGGATCGTGCGGCGAAGGTTCCGGAGGCGACTGAAATGTCTCTGTAGAGATGCGCGGTCGTACAGATGGCTTTTTCACGTGTTTGTTGCGCACTCTCTCAACGCGGAGAGGCGAGCCTCTCAACACATCCGAGGCTCTGCGACTGGGAACTCTTGACTTGAACTCCCTAGACTCATCGGAAAATAGATCCGGCGGTGGCCCAACAGGTACCGGTTTTCTTGTTAAAGCTGAGTTGTGGGGTGATCTAGTCTTCTTGACAGTACCGGTCTCCTCGTCAGAAGGAGTCGATCCCTCCGCATCCACAATATCGACGACGAAACGAGGCTTGGGGGACAGCGACAATCCGCGAGTCGGAAGAATCGAAGGCGCGGTCATGTTGCCGACCCACTCAACAGCCGTGATAGACACTCCCACAGTGATCTCATGTATCAGTAGGCCCAGGGCGTTGAAAACAAGAACTTTTCCAGCCTGTGTACCAATAGCAATCAAAGTCTCAAAGCCCTCGTAGACATCTCCGGCATCTTCTACCGCGTCGCCTCCTAGTAGCACCATCCCGTCTACTCTTCGCTTTGAGTGTACAGAGCCTTTCGTGGATACCGACAAGCAAGTAGCGGGATAAGAGACATGCTATGTCCGGAGTACTTCTCCTCCCCCTTCAAAGTCAACAAGTCGACATTTTCCATCATACCTAATGCTAACAACACGCGATTTGTAGCCCGGTATGAACTCCGCTGCGAGCACACCACCCATGGCCGGCTTATGGAGCTTCTTGATGACACCTACTCGGACAGGCTGTAACTGGTAGAACTGGAATTGATTTTTGTGCGAATCTTCGGGCCACTTTCGGAGTGAAGGCAGGAAAAGACTATACATCGCTAGTAATCCGTCCTGGAATCCGATCACAAAGTTCGTATATGACGGCTGCGCGGGACCATCCAATTGTTGGAACGCAGCACAAGTCGCAGAATAGCGGGCATCTGTTGGACGAAAGTCTACAGGCGCGCTGTGTCCCCATCTTTGGTCTTGAAGGTACATAGTCATCGGGTTTGGTGATGCTGAAAGAAGTACGGTACCATTACTGGATATCGCGATCACATTCGGTGGAGATGAATGCGATGGTAATGAAGGCAGAAGCTTGTCATCCGGTATGGAATATGCTTGAACTGAGTTGTTCAACGTCGTCGTGAAATACAGGGTGCGCGAGTCGGGTGAGAAGAGAAGAAGACGTGGCTCGCCCTGTGCTATCGTCAATTTGTAGACCGTATCGTCACTAGGGAAGATGCCATACATCACCACTCTTCAATTTGTATTTCCTGTCCTTGGTTCGTGAAGCATCGTGAAGTATCACAACCTGACCATCTGCTATAGCGAACAGGCTGCTGTTGTCTTTTGAGGCTCGAGCGTTGACTATGCCGTTAGGGGTCTCGCACTCGAACAGCGTCTCGTAAGCAAGCTGTGTCCTCAAATAAATCTTGTTCGGTGTTGTGACAAACAGGCCCTGTTCAAACGGCAAGCGCTGGGATTTTGCCATTGCTGGAAGTAGAATAGTGATAAGTTTAGGGAGGTCGTTGCGATGATGTGGCAAAAGAACGACGTTTGGATCGTGCGGTATCATGATCGAATGCGCTGCGGCAGGTGCTACAAGTCAACACGTGGAGTTCCAGGGTAAACACAGCGGGAATCAACCTTCATACAAGCACTGTGGTACCATAGGTACCATGAAAACATGCTTGATTATAATATACATTCTCTAAACAAACAAATGGATTCTGTAAATCGAGCAGTCCTAGTCGAATTACTAGTCCAATCTACTTCAGCTTAGCGTACTGCTTGCCCCATTTCTCTGCAATCTCCTCCTCCGAGAACTTTCTTGTCTTGCGCTTTAGCATCTCGACTTTCTCGTCAAGCGTAAGCTGCATCTGATCGCCCATAGGTACAAGACATTTAGCAATGTGCTCATAGTTCTTTCTTAACAGGTTGACCGTAAGGAAGAAGTAATCGATGTTATAGAAAACGATTGCGTGCTCGTCAGAGTATTGCTTCTTCTGTGAGAGGAACGCAACTGGATGCTCCCGCCAGTGGCGGAGCGGATTGAGGTGATGAGATGTGTGATAGCCATCGTTGTAACAGTGGCGGTTGCTCTGTTATAGTGTAAGTGATGCGTTCGAATCTAATCAAGTAAGAATGAATGCAGACTTACGGGTACGTCGATGAGTGTGATGCTTGACCTGAAGTCAGAGTCCGGCTCGACCTCGTCAACGAAAGCGTGCTGGCCCCAGTTGCCAGTCATCAAAGCCAGGCGCATGAAAGCCAGAGGAATCAAGAACACAAACGTCGTTGCACGAGCGCTGACGAAGTTGTACATCATGTACAGGAAGACGTAGTTGCCAACTTCGCAAGCACCCGCTTGGAGCGCGAGATTAGGCTTGCGGTTGCGCAAGAAGTACATGGGCAAATCGAGCCAGATCAGAAAGTAGAACCGGCCAACATATTGCGCAAAGTCCCAAACACTGTCCCGCTGGTATCGAATAGTAGAAGACAGGTCATTAGGTCCGTTGCCTTCAACGTGATGGTGCTTGACGTGATGATAGTAGTATGAGTTCCAGGTGTGGCCCATCATTGGATCGAGAATGTATGGGAATAGCCGGTCGATGAAGCCATACTTCTTGCTAAGAACACCACGCATATGAATATGCTGATGCTTCAGGAGCGTGAATGGTCCCATGTAGTAGCCTTGCATGACGCAATGAAGCACAGCGTGCCACCAGTGGAAGTTGACGTACAGATAGATCGCTGATGGGACGCTGGTGCAGAAGTAAAGCAGCAAATGCGTAACCATAATAACATCGGTCTCGACTCGTACAATCTGCTTTGCCCATCGAATGTAGGGATCGATGATCCATTGACGAAGAAGAGGGTTCTTGATGTCCGAATCATCGACAGTGCTGCACACAGTGGTCTCGAAACTGTCAGACTTGGGGTCATTCAGCTTCTTGAGGTAAGCAATTGCTTGCTGCTCCTGGTCTTGGAGATCTGTGAGCTATTAGTTATATGAACCAGCCATGGTGGTCCAAAGGGAGATTCACTGACCCTCTGGTGATGGCGTCACAATCTCGGAATGTTTGATATCCGAGTCATCGGAATCTTCTGCTGCATCTAGCGTTGATTTTGCAGGCCTGGTCTCATGCAACTCGTACTCCTTCTGTAGGATTTCCAGAACAATTCGGTCCGGACCAGTTAGCTCTTTATCGAGAGGGAAAGCCAGCTTGCCCATCTTGCCGATGACCTGGTAGGATCGTTGTTAGGTTGTGCCGTGATGGCGTGATGACTGCGACAGCAAAAACAAGTGCCCGCCGAAGAGATTGGCAACAAGCGCCTTGTACTGCCGAACACGTAAAGAACGAATCAACCAATGTGAAGATTATGATGAACGTCAATGGCAGAAGTGCATGATGGAGTTGTAGTGAGCTAGGTATGAGGCTGTCGCTGTGAAGCCAAGTAACTGGAAGCGGTGACAAAACCGTTTAGCGCGCCCCTGGTGACCCACACAAGTGGCGAACGAAGACCGAACGCGTATGTATCACTTCACATAGTCAGCGGACTAGAACATTGGACACGACGAACCGATCATTGCTTCATGCAGTAACGAAGGCAGGTAGGGGCAGTCTGATAGATAATTGACATGTCCGCGAATCACATGCAAAAGAGCAGTCGCAACCTTTGTGTGGCAAATTCAGGGTCCTCGACTACCCCGCATTCGCCCAAGCGCCCTCGCAGAATATAGTGGGGCGGACATTGAGGCTCACAGTCTTCGTGCAAAGTAAGCATACGTCAAGTTCATACTGATGAATGCATTTCGCCATGAAGCGCTAGATACAGCGTCTTCGATAATCTATAGGAAGCTGCGGGCGAAGAAGACACTTGACCCGTTCATCACCACCTAGTGTTCCTTTTCCGCCCAGAACTGCAAGAACCGACTCACAGTCCTCTCCTCCCAATAATGGGCCTCCCTGATATAATCCGGCTCAGCGCTAACGTTCTTGATACCATAACTGTCCCAGTGATGTCCGGCTCCCGCAATCAGGTAACTCGGGTACTTGTCGCTACTGATCCTGGGCTGAGGAGCCAGATTCGAATGGTAGCATAGATCAAGCCAGACATCGGTATTGCCATCGATCTTAGCGAGATTCTCAGCTTGGACGTCCCAGCCTCCGTACTTGTTGTAGTAGTGCAACTGGGGAGTTGCAGGAATGCTATTATGCTCGCCAGGTGGGAAGGCCCAGGTGCACCACTGCTGGGTGTAGTCAATTTGGAGGACGCGAGAGATGAGAGATGGGCCGTTCGTAGGCGCAACTTGGTAAGCACCGGACTCTGAACAGGTCGAGTAAAGGTATGAGCGTGCTGCACCGTTTGAGGGGTCGGCGTAGTATGTCTGATTTTGCGTGCCGAAGCAGCCCTCGTCCGTGCTATCGATTCGTCCACTTTCGCAGTTCGGGATGAGCGTCTTCTTCACATAATCGGCATAACCACCTAATCCAGTCCAAGATTCGCCCTGGGAGTACTTGGCAAGCGCCATATCGACGCTGCTGATGTTTGCCGGCGGGTTGATGTTCGTTACGTTGGAGCAGAAGTTGAAGAAGTCTTCAGAACCATATTTGGGAGACCAGTCTAGAGCGTGGTCAGCACACGTTTCCCAAAAGTCCTGAACAGAACCATTACTTACTAAGTTCTTGCCATGTGTTGGTGGGATAGTTCATCGGACCACCGATCGGGAATGCAATCGTCATGGCGAAGTCTCTCAGATCTTGCAGCGCGCCGAGACCAAAGATCTCCTTCAATTGCTGGATGCCTTCTTTGTTTCCACTCCAGATAAGTTCATCCATCTTGTCGACAATATCAATGATCCTGGATACGCAGTCTGAAGGACCGAACTTTATGATGGGATCGTACCACTGAGGGTATTCGAGTAAAGCCTGGGTAGTGGCACTGCTACCAATGCCTCCAGCAAAGATGTCGTTGTAAGTTTTCATGGTGAACGCAGTGTGAGCACCAGCAAGAGAACCGCCATACATAATCCAAGGTGTGTCAACACTGTTCAGACTAGCGTTAACACCTGGGAAGGTAGCATGCTGTCTAAAGTAGGCATTGTCGGCAATTGCTATTAAAAGTCAGCTCATTTGCATCATGGCCTGAATACTTGCATCACTAACTCTGCTCAGTAGTCAAGAACCTCAGTTCATCTGTCGTACTAGAATTGTACGGGTAGCTTTCACCATAGTAACGATTCTCAAGAATGACACCAAGACCGTTGAACTTTTCCATGAGAATCTGGATGACTAGAAACCCGGTCAGTGATTTGTGCGAACGTATCGATTGGGTTTTGCTGTAACCACTTACTTCCAGTCTGCAAGTTGGAGAAACGCGACTCTCCGCTCGTCTCTCCACCAATGTAGAGAAACACTGGTCCCCCGGACTTGTAGTAAGAAGAGTCGAAAACTAAATCAAATGTTTAGTGTATGCTGAGTATGCACGCAGTAGATTTGTACTTACAGTACCGCTGCTTGAAGGTGGCATTGGTGTGAGGAACATAGCGATCGCTATCCTGGAAATGATCAATCTGGCGCAAAGGTCAGCTAGGGCACAATAATCAACAAAAGCGCATCAACGAACCGGTTGATCAATCGTATGTGCCGCATAAGCTGGCGCATCAGCAGTCTGTCTCTTGCCCTGCCATGAAGCCGAGCGCGGAGCCGGAGTTGCAGACCCCAAAGCCACAAAACTGTAAACCAAGGTCAGGACCTTCATGTTGATGGTTGCTTCTCAGCAGACGTACCGGAATACTTCGGGAATACCGTACCACTCTTATACAGATCTCAAGCTCGGCTTCCCGGATAGCAGGACGCGAAGCTATACCATCGCGTCATGTTCGTTTGTACCTCAAAGCGGGGCAAGGCGTGCAGCGGGCGATACCTATACAGGCAGGTAGATGCAAGGCTTGTACAGGCTTGTGCAGGCTTGGAGAAGCTTGTCGCTGCTTGGTATCTGCCTTCTGCTTTAGAGCTCTTTGCTTACTGTCTTATCGTGCGGTGAGGCTTTTTGAAGGATGGGTAGTGTTGTGTTAGTTGTGTTCGTGCGAGTGAGGTACGCGCGGACCCTAAATACATCGCATTATGGAAGGCGTCAACGCGTCTACTCACACGATGCAGCAGATACCTGGGAAGTATGGATGATTGGTATTTCTGGAAGTAAGCAGTGCATGCAAGTTAAGATGTGCATATGCTTAGGCAATAGAGCTACCTAGGTATGGTAAGCTAAATGACCGATCCCTGCCATACGAACTCGTATACCAAACTCCAGTAACCTTATCTGACCACAGATACAGAAATGATGACGCAACACTGCATCTCCGTCTCTAGAATCCTCACCACCTACTCCATCTCCTTACTAGTAGGTCTAACCAACATGCCAGCTCTCTCATAAGTTCGATCCGTGGCTTCCATTTGTTTGATACTCTCCTCGCCATCAACCCACGCACCACTCCCATCTCTCCGCTTAACCTTATTCACAAACTCCTCAAGCATGTACCGATACGTAACCCACCAGTCCTCACCCTTTTTCTCACCACCCATGCCCTCCGGCCACTTGTACGCCTTCTTGTACTCCGTCTTCTTTTCTTCCTTGACAATCTTGCCAGAAGAGGGATCGCGCAAAGTAGTCGTAGTGGTGATATCGATGCGATGGTAAGAGTGCGGGCCCATGAAGCCCCAGAACATAAGTGACTTTTGGCTAGACTTGTGTAGACCGTTGTTAGTTGTTTCAAGGTTCTCGGGGTGCAAAGTTACAGAGATCGAGGCAAGCAGGTCACTGAAATTTGGCCAGTTTGATGTTAGCCACGGAAACCAATACCCGCCTCGAGCACCTAGATCGGACAGAACGTGACCACTACCACCGTTGGGGAATGTGTAAGTAGCTTCCATGGCTCGATCGCAGAGCTGATGTTGTGTTGTATGAAAAAAGCTAGGTGTTGCAGAAGTGACATCTGTAGGCTCAGCTCCGAAGACACCTCGTAGTGCGGATAGGGTGTAATGCCCTATGTCCATTGCAGCGCCACCAGCAAGATCGTAGTCATATCTGATATCTGTTTCGGGGAATGCTCCTTTGAATGCTCCCGCACGAACACTTGCTTTCTCTACATTTGCCTTTTCGAATTGCGCTAGAAAGACATACCAGGCGGGGTGGAAGCGATAGTGACTTGCTTCAACAAGTACAGGAGCATTTGGAGCCTTGAGAACCTGGTGATGGAAGAGAGAGCGTGCCTCTTGCGCATTGGAGACGGAGGGTTTCTCCAGTAAAACATGTTTTCCTGCCTTGAGGGCGGCGAGCGTCCATTTGTAGTGCAATCCGTTTGGCAAAGGGTTATATATACAGTCGATCGACGGATCGTTGATCAGCGCTGCGATGGATCAGCATGGTATCACAGCAGCATGAAGTGGCCGTGATTGCTGCTTATGGGCTGCTGGATTATCATCACCTGGCTCGCTTACCTTCATAGCTATCATGAACAATCGGAACATCCCACCTCTTTGCATAGGCATCTGCTTTTGTCCTGTCTCTTGCTGCAACAGCAGCGATTATGACATCTGCATGCGAGCGCGCTGGAATGATCAAACCCATCGGACTGTTCAACGATTCTATTTAGCTCCAAGATCCTATCTCAACTTCCTCATGTTGATAAAGAGAACAGAGCGTGGACATACGCAATTTTGGCAGCTCCTAAGATACCGAAACGTAATGCATCCGAATTCTTCGGTACTGGCTTGCGTCCAGCGGCCCATTCGGTAAACTCAGCGCTGGAGTTCAACCAGTCGACAAATCCCATCTTCGATTGGTTGCGTGATGTAGAAAGTGATGATTTGGCAGTATGATGCTGAAGAAGAGGGAATACATCTCCGTCTACAGAAACACAGGATGTTCCATTGCTTACTATCAACTCGTAACGGGGCGTTACCTTAAACTTGCGCCTCGCATGCAGTGCGCTTGTGGTGCGGGGCCAAGTCAATGATTGGCGCCCGCTCGTACGCCCGAAACAGTAAGATACCTTCAACTCCTAAGCAACATCTGTAGCTGATTGATTCCATGGTCAACATAAGAAAAATGCTGAGGGGAGGCAAGAGGTCTACATTTTCAATAGTTCAGATTGATATAATACGAGCAAGTATGCCGACAATCGATGACCAGCATAAGCACTTGGTGTGTAGTGAAGTTAATATACTACAGTTCAGCCGGACACAGCATCTTGCGTCTGGAGCGTGGGGTGTTAGTTGCTTACGTTGTCTAAGCCGCTTCGATACCGTATAGTTCAACTAGTTCAACTTACAATGTGGCAGTCATGCCCAAGAGACTGCATGTTCTGATGCATGAAAGATAGCCTGAATCTAATCTCGCACGCCTCAACCTCGCTGACTCGGCTAATGAGTATAAGCACCGCCTTCACATCTACCGAATGCCCGAGGCACCGTCTGAAGCGGAAGAATTCCAATTCTGTAGATCATGTAAGTCAGCAATGTCCGAGGCCAGCGGTAACAGCGGCGATAAGAAGTGTGGCAAATATTGAATCATGGCATCATGGCACGAATAATGGCTAGGGTTTCAGATGTCAGGCGTGGTGGCGAGAGAATCCACTTTGCCATATCGGACGACGTGCATGAACGGCATGTTCAGGGCGCTGCTGTTTGATCGACAGGGTAGCACACACGATTGTGTGGGAAAGAGTGGGTGTGGAATTGTATTGTCCACGAATGCCTGAATGCCTACGAAACAGATTGCGCAAGCGAAGTGTAGGGAGAACACCCATCCTTGTTGTCGCACTATATCTTGCAGGCATTGTGTATCACACACCGCAGTAGGCGGGTAAGAGAAATTTCGTCCAAGATTTGCTTCAATGATCTTCACGAAAACAACGGAAATTTGTCGGTGAGGGTTACGGTGACGGAGGTATTACAATGACGACCGGTGTCATTAGGCGAGGTAAAAGAGAAGAAAAATAATTGCGCCGAGCTTGATCAACCGGGCACAACGTTTGCCGTGCTGGGGTCTTCCTTTGAAGTTACTGCAACGCGGTTCGCTTACAGCCGCAATGCTTGGCTGGTGGTGACTCTGCGTAATGATCACCAGTAGGAGTGTGATAGGCGAACATCGCAATTCCCACACAACAAGTCACGAGATTGAAAATCCTCCTTACAGATGCTGTGTCGTAGACTCCACATGACCTACGGTGTACACAGCGGTGAGAAATGTAAGGGTTTTCAAGCGGCAAGCGGCAAGCGGCAGTTACAGAATCAACGGCTTTTCCTCTTTGCGCGACAAAATCCGAGGACCTGGTTATAGTGACAAGGGACAACGGTCAAATCGCAACGGCGTCCATGTCGTAACGGTGACAGCTTGGGTACACCGCTGAAGGTGACTCACATCGAGTGACCTAGTCGCCGAAGAGGTTCCCAAAAAAAGGCCGTCAGCGTGGATGGATTGACAGCGGGCTTTTCCAGCGCTGGGATGTGATAGGCACCAGCAAAGTAAGGCTGCATGCTCTGCCCGCGGACCCACGATCTGCGAAAAAGGAACGTGGTTTGTGGAATTGCGGACGTGAGTCAGAATGATCTGCCAGGGATTGAGCAGCATGCATGCACTCGGACGCACACAGAAGAGTTGCGTGGGCATGTGATTGATGTGCGCTGGCTTGCGTAAAGTTGATGTATCGAAGGACGACTGCAGGTTTCCACACGTTGTACGCACGGTAACGCGCAGCCTGCGTCAGCCGATGGCGTACATGGAATGCCTCGCGTCTTGCAGGATGAATTAACGTCTGACAGACGTGGCTGACTGTGCACTTCGCCCTACTTAGCACGATCGGTGCTGAGAGAGTTTTGATAGCTAAGCGATAGGTCTGTGTGCTCGTGGAGGACCGATTACATGGTTATTCAGGTCCGTATTCATCAGACCGGAATGCAGCCTTGTCGTCTGGGGCCAATAACTCAAGCTTCAACAGCAGAGGACGAGGGACAAAGGCGCAGTTCGAAAGTCTAATTGCTTACTGAGCGCCATCAAGGCGCAGGACTCTGGTCGTCAGCTCAGACACGGCTCGGCTTGCAACGTATAGTTTGCGCCTGTCCGTTCGCCTACTGCGAACATTCGGCATGCTCATCCGAGTATCAGAGATCGAGCACGTTCAGGGTGCTGCCACTTTTGGTGAGACTGCCCCCAACGTGGTGTGGGCGGACCCGCTCAGGCGAGTGGAGATTGGCGTCAGATTGCGGCGTAGGCACGACAATGGTACTTAGTGCGTAACCGCGGGATGCGCTGCTTGATGTTGACGACGATGATGTTTGATGGAGGGGTACTGTCCTGCGGGAGATAGTGTATTGCAACCTGGCAGACCGCTAACGGCTGTGGAGTTGCGGGCACGTCTTGCTGAGCGGTGAGGTCGTGCAACATGCAAAGCTGTAGTAGTGAAGGACGGTGTTAATCTAGCGTCTTAGTGGTCGCACGTCTGCGTACGACTAGCAATGCAGCTGGTGGTTGGCTTTGCGTATAGAGGAGTCATCTGCCTCAGCTGAAAGCAAGGCATGGATTCCTAAGAGCATGCACTTGTGCCTGAACGGCTACATGGCCGTGGTTGGAGCTAGGTAAGCGCAACCGAGCCAAACCACCAAGAACGGCCCTGCCAATATTCGCATTCGTGGTGTGAGGCCGTATCCGTCTTGCTGATTAGCGTTCCAAGTTGAAGCTGCGGCAAGTATCGACGTTCCTGCACATGCCGGGGTGGTGCCGTGATTTCCAACGTGAACCGGTCACACGGAAGGTTTCGGTAGCTGCGGGACACTTGAATATGCAACACGGTTAAACGAGTCGACTTATTGGCCCTCGACTCAACTTGTCAAGTCTACGTCACACAGCCCACGTGTGTGCGGCCAAGCGCTTGCAATGTACAGGTGCCTGATTGTGGAGGAGGCATACCTGATCGCTCGAACATGCTGCAGCGCTTGTGAAGCAACGGTGGATCCTATCACAGCCATGTCCCTTAGCGGTTAGCTGAGGTGGTGTGCAAGGGAACTATCGCGCGCGCGCTGGCAACCTGGCGGCGTCTCTAGGCAAACATCTCTATCGGAAGATGCCCTGGAGGCTTACCCTCGACTGATCATGGCTTTTAGCCCCCAAATGGAAAGGGAAAGCCGAAGGATTAGTGAACAGGGGACTTTGAATTCAACTGCATGCGAGTTTCACTGTGGACGAGAATAGAACAAGTATAAGCGTAATTGATCTTAGATCAAACAATTAATGCTACGAGACGATATTGGGTATTCCTCCTGGCTATGATGCCGCCTAACCAGTAATAGAACTCCAAGAACTAATGATGCTATGATGCCACACAACCAATCCCAAGCGCCAACTAATGCAAGTCTAAAGCAAGTAATACGCTCAATATTAGAAGGACTGTGATGTGTATATGCCAAAGTAAAGTAGGCGTCTATAGAGAAGGATCGTTCCGGACACCCGAACCAGCGTGTGTGGGATATGCAATCGTAGCCATGGCTCAGGTGGAAGTGAGACGAGCGGATCCTGGTACATGCAGCAATGCCACATGACAGCAGGGCGTAATAACGTGGAGGCTTGCGATGCAAGGTAGACTGGCGTCGAGTCGCTTTCCGAAGACAAGCTTAGTCTGCTTTTAACCGGAAATCGCGGCGGATGTCAGGTGAGTGACAAGGAGTTGTTCTGAGTCTGAGGCACAGAGTGCGCCAAAGATCAGATAGTACTGGATGCTGCAGATGCACTGCATGATGGCGGCATACCAGGCGGCAAGGTGCAGATCGATGTCGGATGATAGAGTAGTAAGGTGGGTCGCGTTGAGGATGTTCGGTTAAGGATGCGGAGTTGATATCGATGTTGAGATGCGCCAAAGCCAAGTGTAGGTCGAACAAGACAAAAACGAGGTAGAGAGTTGGTGTCCTCTATTTCGATGGGACAGGAGGAAGAGGGCGGGTTGGTGGTGGGCCAGGGCAAGGTGGGAGGTTCTGCGATGCCATGTTGGACTCGTCGTAGATAGTGGCGGCCATTGTGTTGGTTTGTGAGGATGAGCTGTTAGGCTGGTGTTGAGCTGAAGTGTTGAGTTGGTTGTTGGAGTCTTCGTTGGATGACGATGATGTTGTTGTAGTGGTAGTGGTAGTAGGCTGTAGAGATATACTCTTTGTGTTGTAGTCTTCGGCTCTGGATGATGAAACGAACACTCCGATGGTGGGGGGTCAACGTATTTATGTTTGTGCTCAGATTGCAGACCCCCAAAATGTCGGTCAGCTACGTACTTTGACGATGTGTGTAATAATGCTAGGCAGGGCATGGCACGGCCCAAGCGGTGAAAGAGGCGTTGGGCTGATGAGCAGGAAAGGGGTGGCTCCTGGCTTGTGCATAAGCTAAAGCACGCCGAAACATCGCTGATCCTGGTCACTTAATGAGCAGGGGGGAGAAGAAACACGAACTTGCGCGTTACCGCCTTGTCGTTTCATCGGCCTCGTGACAGCGTGAAGATCGTGTTGATCCAATCCTGTCGCAGTATTGTCGCCGTCGCGGCATGTCGTTCATACAACGCATCATCCTCCAGGCAAGGCAGCAGGCCCAGCGAGGCATGATTGACCCACGGGAAGTGTCTGCGCTCATCTGACATCACTTATTCCCTGACCACTACCGTGCTCTTACTAGCAGACATGCCTAGTGCGAACGGTCGTGAGGAATGAAACGTAGCCCTCCTTTTCATCTTGACGGTGCGCAGGGCTGGCATGCATCAGTCGCCGCCTTGGGACCGCTTGTAAGAGGGTTTGCTTGCGAGCGCATCAGGAACAGGCATCGCTCGGTTCCTGTTGCCGTGCGTGTCAAGAGCAAATTCTGACACATTGACAGTAAATTTCCGTCACACAATTTGCGACGTCGCCTATTTGCCAACGTCGGACACACCCACCGACCTCCAGCGCAGGAAGATCTAGCGCCTATGCCGACCTTCTCCCGTGCTTCTTTGACGCTTCTACCCAATTTCGAAGCCCCCTAGAATTTTCCGCTCCACAATGTCCACAGCTGCTGGCGCCCGTGCTGGCGGTGTGAGGTCAAGGCATGACTTTGCTCTTGCTATCCTGAATCGGTTGGCCGGGGTATACACGTTTGTTCGTGGGCAGCTAGGCTGAGAATGCAAAGCACCGCACAAAGGCATGTCATGATTATTTTTGTCTTTTTGGTTTGCCGTCTTCGCGCAACTCGTATTAATCCTAGCTCGCGTTTGTGTCCGAGGTAGGAGTAGTTACCGACGCCCAGTGTGCCCTGTTTCTCAAAGTGTTCCGGCGACCGCAACTGGCTGGTAGTGGCTGCTCGATAAAGGTTATCACAGAAGCTCGGCTGGTCCGGAAGGAGAGAGTTGAACGGGCGCCATGCAGCCACTTGGCGCAGCTGTCAACCAGTCTGAAGGGACGGAGGGAACACCGCTGCTCGCTCGTTGCAGCTGGCCAAACTCCACGTGGACTTGTCAGGGTTTACGTCTGACTTCAGATAGGCGTTTGTTTGATTGACATTCGCAATATGCCACCTTTTACCCCTGCGACCTGCGAGATGGAAATCACGATTATTGAAGCGTTTACAGTACCCTGAAAGCCTGTGCGCAACAAGCAAAAAAGATTTCCCTTACCCACCAGGACTGGGGAGAAGATTCTGGCGATGCGCTCATCGTTGATAGTAAGCGACCAGATTTACAGGGGCTGCTGGTGCGTCAAAACCTAATGCAGAAAGCATCGTCCTCACCATCGCCACCCCCTTCGGTAGTTCATTAGTTCAGTCTCAACGCTTCTCAAAAGCTGTCGTTTCAGCACAGTGGGGAAGGATTGCGCATATGTTACAGTCCAATGCGAAAGACAAGGCGACATGGTGTCAAGCTATAGAGCGAAAGATCTGGTCCCAGGAAAAGACGTTTTCGGCTGACAAGCGTTCCAGCCAACTGGCCAGCGCGGAGAGACGAGAAGAGACCGAGCGTTAGTCTGTCTGCCGTTGATTGACAGGTCATCAGTTTGAAGCCATGCCCCTAGAAGGGTCCCTTGAAGCTGCAGGCACGGCTGTCTACCAAGTAAAATTAACGGCGGTTTTTGACCGACATGCTTTTCATCTCATGTTGCTTGAATCAATAAGCCTCTCGCAATTCTCATGCAAGCCTGCTCACAACAACGATCACGATGTTCGCGTTGGCGCAAAAAAGTACGTAGTATTGGCATTGAACTCTATCCACCGGCTCCGTATTCGTAGTGGTGGCTAGTCGATCACAGCGTCATTGTGAATAAAAGTCTTGATTTTCCCGTGTTTTGGCAGCCATGGTACGAGAATGATGGATTAGGCTGATCGTCATCAGCAGATCAATAGCTTGGTGCGGAGAACGATGTTCAGGCACGTTGCTGCAGGTACGCGCAACATTCTCGGCGCCGCTACCGCACCTTATGTGGCTTACGCGCCTTCAATCTCAGGCGAGAGCGAGCATGCGAGCACGCTGCGCCACCCATTTTGGGGCCGGCGAGTCCGATGCGCTACTGGTGAAGCACTCAGAGACTCAGAGGAGACAAAGACGAGAACCCAGATGGGTATTCGCCGGGAAAGCACCGAGTCTCAATGCGCCAAGGCAACGGTTCCCCAGTGCTGTTTTCGATCGACGAGCTGTCCGACGCAGAACTCAGCGTTGCGATCGAATAAAAAAAGGATAGACCCCGGTCATACGTGCAGTATGTAATACGTCTAGTCGTTCCGAACAGCCGACTCTCCAACAGTGAACACATCGACCCTCCCTATATGCTCAGTTTCAGGTTCATTGTCCTCATCAAGCCCCGGATGCGATATGGACCATGTTTGCAGCGGAAATAAGAAAGACGCGCACGCACAAAATGGTGCGCGAATATCGTGGCGTATGTTGTACTCCTCTGAGAGAATGGTTCACTAAGCCACCTAATGCGCAGGGACTTCCTGAAGAACCGCGCATTTATCCGGTGTGATGGTTCAGCACAGTGCGTCCACGTGGATAAGCCTGTCAAGAACCCATCGTGTTCAGGGTCGGCGAATAGTGGTCGGCGTTGTTATTTTCGTCCCTGTCAGCTCGCACTCGTGTCAGTCGGTAACAAGATCCGACTGTCTTAACTCGATGGCGGTCATATAGTACAGTGATGCTAATTCTATTCACATAGCGTCCTCATCGTCGTCGAGCTGCTCTGCCACAGCTTGTGTCGAAACCCAATTCTCTAGCATAGCCTGGCTTGAATTTGCACCGCTTGGTCCTGCCACGTTTCGTGCGCCACGGCGCTTAATGACAAGACACAGTATACGGCCGTAGATACTGAAGCCATCATATGATGTGTTGAGACCAAGCTTCTTCTTATCATCCGCATGTGGCTCCTCGTCACTATCCTGGTCTTCGTCCTGTGTACGAGCCTTGGTCCGACGTCGATTGGTGGGCTCAGGGACAAACAAATCCGAACCTTCACTATCGCTGCGATTGCTGAGTGCAGCATCCTCATCCTCGTTCCTTCGGCGTCTTTGACGTGCTGAACGCTTAGGCTGTTTCCCAGATTGGTCAGCTGCTGGGATGTCAGCAAGATTGATGGGCTCATCATCGTCTTCTTCTCTGATAACGATCGGATCTGCGCCATCTTCGTTGATAACGACAGGCTGATCGCTAGTTCCACTTGTCAGCCAGTTGGTGAGTTTCCCGGAATTGCTTTGGATGCGGGCCTTGTCTTTGAAGATCTTTTGCTTGGTCAGAACGGAGTGCCGGGAGGATAGGTCCGTCAAAAAGATGGAAACCTCGAAATCATCTGACGTGAGGTTAGCCGTCTGAGTAAGACTGCAGCATCAATGCGGGGATGCCTGTACTGTGGATACGATATCAAACTTCCATGCAGCTTACCTTCAACGACGACGTCCTTTACTCCCTTCTTTTTAGATTTGGCACTACCTCGGCCTCTACCCCGCTCATTTTCCTCTCGGAGCTTGGGCAGTACAAGCGGTCGTATAGCCTCAATGACGCGTGGTAGTGCTGGGTCGTCGCGCTTCAACAGCCATGCCTCAGCATCGGCGGGTCGGTCAAGATAGATGCGAACCTCGAGAACAGAATGCTTTGTAATCCGTAGGTATCGTCGAAGTGGTGCCATATCAAAGGACTAGAGAGTGTGGCGTGGTTCCCGATGTTGACGATGCAAGTAAGTGAATGCAACTGTCAGCATAGACACGGACGATGATGATGCGTGTTCACGTGCGAGCGTTCCGACGCTAGTTCCGATCGGCATGCGCAGAAGTTGATCGGAAAGTGGGCGTCAGCGCATCACAATCACACACGACGCACCACAACACAGCACTAGATATGGTGCTTGAGCTTCATGTATGGGGCCCAGCCTTTGGGCTTTCTTCAATAGAGCCCGAATGCATAGCCACAATCGCCTATTGTCAGCGTGTCATCCCCAGAGGAGAATGGTCACTGGTGGCCGAGCACAACCCCACGATTGGCACCACAGGTACGGGATCCATGACTTATCGTGTCCAGAGCAGTCCCTTACACACTCGCAGAGAGCTTACCGATACTCTTCGATGACGACGTCGCAACAGCCTCCGGCTTTGAGGATATTGTCGCATACCTTCGCAACCACCCTTCAGTCACCAATGACCTTGATGTCAACTTATCAACTCGACAGCAGACCGATAGGACTGCGTAGGTACCGATCCATGAGTTGATATATGTATTCTTATACATTTACAGTTTCATCACATTTCTACAATCTACAGCAACCCCTCTGATCGACCTGTCTCTCTACGTCTCTGCCGAAAATTACAACACTACAACCTCGTCTGCGTATACTGCCATCCTCCCATGGTATGCCAACTACACCGTCCCTCCGAAACGACGAGATCTCGCTAGAGCTAGGACGGCGCACATGGGACTGAGTAGTCTAGATGTGGATACCACAGCCGAAGAGGGGTTTGCGCCAGGTCGAGGTACCGCTTCGTCCGAATATGAGGCTGCCAAGCGGGCAGCCGGCATACCTACCGAAAGCCAACCAAATGCCATGAGCATAGGGCGTGGAAAGGGTCTTGGCGGCCTCTTAGGTGGTCAGGTGTACGCCGCACGATTCAGACTTGATGCTCTATCAGGCGAACTCTTGGACCCATTGTCAGATCTACTCGGAAAACACGACTACCTCTTCCGTGGGGACAAGCTCTCAAGTCTGGATTGCTTTGCTTTTGGATACTTGTCTTTGCTGTACTACCCGCCAGTGCCCCAGGCATGGCTCAGAGAAACTCTCCAGACCAAATACCCACGCATTGTAGCATACATAGGTAGGCTGCATGAGGACCTATTCCGCAGTGAACAGGTGAGCTCTTCAGATATCTGGTCTGTCTCCGCCGGTGTGAAGAAGACGCCAAGAAGTACATCTTTACCATGGACGGCAAGATCAGGAACTCTCGCTTCAAGTACGCTAGCCGGCGCAAAAGAGATCTTGGGGAACATTCCTGGATTGTCCATGTTCTCGCAGCGAAAAAATGTCATTGTCTCGGAGCCGCTGGCATCATCGAAGCGCATTCGATCGGAGCTGCCCTCTCCGCTGTTTATCAACACCCTCTTGGGTGTGACAACCGTATTCGCAATAAGCTTAGCATCCCTAGCTGTGCACCACCGTCGGTCACCGCGGGAGGGCGAACTCATCTTTTGGGCTCTACGTCCTAGCAGTGGCCTAGGCGAAGCTGGAAGTATACTCAGCGTCTTCGCCAATCAGCTTCACGATGGAGCATTGTATTCCCAAATTTGAGTACGATGAGTTGACGATATATCCCAATGTTTTATGCACGCTTTATACATGGTCAGTTTTGGACCTTGGGAAAACCAAGATTCCGCCACTGGTCAATGCTTGCTATAGCATGACCTAGTTTAGAACCAAGATAGTCACTTTCCCACCAGCGTTGTTCAAACAGGTCGCGGAACGCCCGGCTTTCGAATCACACCCCCCTCTTGAGTTGCCACGTCGCTTCTATGGACTCGTCACATCGCACAAACTTGATATGATCGTAGAATGAGATGGCAGGACCCTTAGTAGATACATAACGTGGATGCCAATTGACTTGGATGACTGCTTGTAAGGGTCTAGGTAAAATGAATTCTTGGTAGCGTGGTTGTCATGGCGCCCATTGGGTCCCGGAACCAGGCACACATCAACGTCACATCAGCCGGAGAGGACATAGCCACTGGCGCCAACTGTTCTAGCCTTAGCCTAGATCAGCGCAAGCAGGGCGACTGCTGTCTGGCTGTGTATGCGATGTGGCATATATGCGGGTACAATGCGCAGAGAAGGGTCGCAATTGAAGCATTGAAGTTAAGCAAAATGCAAGGATACCCTACGCTGATCAAGGATTGCCAATGTCGCAGTGTGGAGGATTTGCAAATGATTTGAGGGTAGCGTGTCTGGGAACATGATCGCCGCGGGAGGGTGGGGCTAAGCAAGGTCTACGTCATTGAACTCCCCTAAACAAAACCTCCGTCATACTGCGACATCTCTGCGCCTTCCCTATCAACACAACACCCAAAAAACTTCATACCCGGCCTCGCCCTTCCAACTCATACTCGATATATCACTACAACACCGACGCCAACATGCACCGAACATACAGCATGCGCCAATCTCGCGCGCCCACGGCGTCGCAGATTCAGAGCCCCCCGCCACCTTCGTCCTCGACCAAGAGCGGGCGCTTCTTTGGCAAGGCTAACATTGGTATGTCTTCCACTTTAGAGATTTTCTGCATTCGCACCGTTTTTGTTTCGCACGAAAAATGAGCTATGAGGACTGCGCAGTGCCGCCTTCGCACACCGCGTGAATAGCGCCTTATCGCATAATGCAGCAACAGCACGTATTCCACGAGTGGATCTCACCGGATAGTCACTACAGTGTTACAAATATCATTGTCTATGTTATAGTTGCTAACTGATTCTCTGCTGTGTAGGCCACACCTTCCGCCACAAATCTGCCGGTGCCTTCGGACCTGACCTTGCGAAGAAGTTGTCACAACTTGTAAAGATGGAGAAGAACGTCATGCGCAGCATGGAGCTGGTTTCTAGGGAGCGTATGGAGGTCGCAGTAAGTTTGCACTGCCCCTGTGCAATCCTACGTAGTACTGACCAGTCACACAGCAACAACTCTCCATTTGGGGCGAGGCTTGCGACGACGACGTCTCTGACGTCACTGACAAGCTCGGAGTTCTCATCTACGAAATCGGTGAGCTCGAGGACCAGTATGTTGACCGCTACGACCAATACCGTGTCACCATCAAGAGCATCCGCAACATTGAAGCTTCCGTTCAGCCCAGCCGTGACCGTAAGTTAATCACATGTGTGCCACCAGAAAGACGCTTACAGTCGTATAGGCAAGCAGAAGATCACCGACCAGATTGCTCAGTTGAAGTACAAGGAGCCCAACTCCCCCAAGATTGTTGTCCTTGAGCAGGAGCTCGTACGTGCCGAGGCCGAGTCTCTGGTCGCCGAAGCCCAGCTTTCCAACATCACTCGTGAGAAGCTCAAGGCAGCTTTCACTTACCAATTCGACGCCATGCGCGAGCACTGCGAGAAGCTGGCCATCATCGCTGGCTATGGAAAGCACCTCCTCGAACTTGTCGACGATACACCAGTTACTCCTGGAGAAACCCGTCAAGCTTACGACGGCTACGAGGCTAGCAAGGCGTGAGTCAACTCTCCTTCCTTGCCCCAAGAAAAACATCTACTGACACACTACAGCATCATCCAAGACTGTGAGGATGCTCTTACCAACTGGGTGTCCCAGAATGCCTCCGTCTCCTCCAAGCTCTCCCAGCGATCGCGCACCCTTTCTCAACGCCGCCGCAACCAGAACCGCAACATGGGTGAGGGTGTCGACCTCTCTGGCCAAGACCAGGCTCTCGACAGGGAGTCTGGCCTATGGATCCCCGCCGAGCAGCACCAGGGCAACGGTTACGACGACCGTGAGGACCTTGATGACGATGTTAACTCGACCATCGCTAGTGAGCATCAGCGTGGTCGTGAGGACGAGAGGATCGTTGCTGCTTAGATGTACCACTGATGGTTTGAGCAGTGTTTCACTCTCTGTCAACTAATAGTCCGTCTTCGCAAGGACTGGCGACTTATACCCCTGATGGAATGAGCGATGGCACTGCAGTTTTGGATCCGATATATCTGTTTCATGTGGCTTGGGCGATGTGATTGAAAGCTTTCTGGTCATCAATCTCACTGGAAGCTGAGGTCTAGTTTTGCGTATACGGATTTCATGACTTTTTGACGATTTCAACGCGTGGTACATTTATAGGAAGTTTGCAGTAATATGATAATGAGAATAATATACACGCTTCTCTGAAGAAACGGGTGATATTTGCAGTCTTCGGTTTCAATTCCGTCCTCTCAAGCCAAGACCGGCTTCCAGCAACGGCGAATGTTAACCCGAACGTAGACTAGGTCCACAAAGATAACTGCCATATCCAAAAGATGCGTCCTCGAGGCGGCGCACACGCCGAAATTCCTTATGCATTCTCTGCGCATCCGGCTTCCCCAACATAGAATGCCATCGGTCATTTGCCGACGACCCACTTTCGGCGGGTGAGCAATACTCCGCCTTGCCGGTTTTGCTCATAGTGCGGGGCAACCAGGATGAATATCAATGACCGAAGACGGGTCTTTTGCCGGACCAAGGCCACTTTTCCTGGGGAAAGAGAGTAGTGCGTGACGTCGGGCCGGGTGGGGTGATATGAGAGATGTACGTGGTCGATGTTTTATCTTTGATATTGTGACTCCAAACATTGACTTCATGGTCTATATCTAATAGATCTTACTTGAGAAAGAGCTAGACATTGGTTATAGTGGAAGAAAGAGGAAAACGACAGTTTCTCACTCCAATTACTGAACACGATTCCAGCACGGTGCTCGTTGACGTTTAGCAATAGTATTGCTAGAGATTACCTTGGAAATATTGAACGACGGATCCGCTAAAACACAACAACAATGTCATCCAAGCCTGAAATCGGCTTCTGTGGCCTAGGCGCCATGGGAATGGGCATGGCAACACATCTCGTCAAGCAGGGCTACCCTGTAACCGGTTTCGACCTCTACCCACCTTCGCTCGAGAAGTTCAAGGCCGCTGGTGGCACACCATCAACTTCACTCTCGGAGTCTGCAAAAGACAAGCCTTTCTATATCGTCATGGTCGCCGCTGCTTGGCAAGCTCAGCCTGCGCTTTTCGATAAAGACGGCATTGTGGGTGCGCTACCAAAAGGTGCTACGCTCTTGCTGTGCTCGACAGTACCCAGCGCATACGCGAAGAGTGTAGAGAAAGAGCTAGTAGATATCGGCCGGGACGATATCTTATTCATCGATGCGCCTGTTTCTGGTGGCGCAGGGCGAGCAGCAGACGGCACTTTGTCTATTATGGCCGGTGCTTCGTCTGTGGCTTTTGAGAAAGGTCAATGGTTGCTAGAGGAGATGTCCGCACCTTCCAAGCTCTTCATTGTCGATGGCGGTATTGGCGCGGGTAGCAATATGAAGATGGTTCATCAAGTCCTTGCGGCAGTTCAGATTCTTGCTCTCAGCGAAGCATATGGTTTCGCTGCTAGGCTGGGCTTGAACGGCAAGGATGTGTACGATAAGGTGCTGGGGAGTACTGGGTGGAGCTGGATGTTTGAGAACCGCAGTCAGAGGACTTTGAAAGAAGATTATTTCCCAGGGGCAAGTGCCGTGACTATCATTCTGAAGGATACTGTGAGTAACTCCGTGTCTTCCGAAATCCTATTCTCGGAGAGACGAGACGACGTGACTGCGTGCTGACAAGGAATACAGGGTATCATCACATCTACAGCTCGCAGTGTAGCGTTCCCAGCAACCCTCTGTTCAGCCGCAGAACAAGTCTACTTCTCCGCGCTCGACCGGGGTTGGGGAGCTAACGACGACGCTGGCATCGTCCGCCTATGGACTTCTGAACCCGTCACCAGCATCCAGAGCAATCTCTCAGCCGAAGACAAAGAAGCAAAACTCCAGCTTGTCGTCAACCTTCTAACCGGTATCCACCTCGTTTCTGCGGCGGAAGCCATTTCTTTGGCCAAACACGTTGGCATTCCTCTGGCACAATTTTACGAGTTGGCCTGTGATGCTGCAGGCGGAAGTAGCATGTTCAAGGACGCAGGCGCGAAGATGATTGCGGTTTTGGAGGGCAAAGAAGATGGCAAAGGGAAGGCACTTGGAGGGTACGCGGAATCACTGAAGCAGGCTGTAGATGAGGCACAGGCGATCAAGTGTCCTGTGTATCTTGGCACTGGCGCCTTGAATCTTTTGTTGCAAACAGGGAGTGAGTTGAGTTTGGGCTCGCTGCTCAAGTGCTATATGCCTTAGAGCTGGGAGAAGCATTGTGCAGCCGAGTGACACTATCAAATTTTCTGCGAGATGAAATTGAAAGCATGTCTACATCTAGTCTTTTGTGGTGATGGTGACAGTTCCCACCTCTAGACCCTCTGCCATAGCTGTGATTGTCAGGGAACCCGGTTTTCCCTTCCTCGCCTTCACGATAGCCAATGCCAGTCCGTTGAATGAATCTCTCTGCAGAGACTGGAACGGAACGAAATCTGCTTCGAACCCGTTATCCGTAGCAGCAATCTCTCCCGGTCCTTCAATTGCGAAGTCAATTGTGCGGTGAGCATTGCGCACAACATTCCCTTCACCATCCACCACTTCCAACGTAACGAAAGAAAGATCCAGTCCGTCAGCCGAAATCTCATGTCGATCAACCGTAAGCCTTAATGCGGCCGGTGGCCCAGTTGTGCTCACACTTTCCGTCGCCCATTCCTCTCCGCCCTTGTACGTTATCACCTTGACCTCACCAGGCTGATACACAACCTCATCCCACCTAGCCCTATACTCGGACGCACTGAGGCTTTTCCTCCCTTGAGACATCCCATTCACCCATAGCTCAGCCTCTTCAGCATTTGTAAACACATGCACAGGCGTCACCATGCCCACTCTCTCAGCCCAATTCCAATGCTGCGGTACTATATGTGCGATTTTGACATCTGGTCGCCATCTTGCCTGGTACAGATAATACCGATCTTTTGGAAATCCAGCAAGGTCAATAACACCAAAATAGGAGCTGCGAGCGTCGTAGTACGGCTCCGGCTCGCCTAGGTAGTCCCAGCCTGACCATACGAATTCGCCGGCGACAAAGGGATTCGCGTCTTGCGCGGCAAATACTTTGTCGGCCGAGGAACCAAAGTTTGCGGTATGAAGCTCGTAGGCGGAGACATAGTAGAGAGAGGAGTTTCCGCCGCCATTCGTGTCGTTCACGGGGGCACTGTTGAGGTCTGTGACGGGGAAGAGATATGTACCTCGTGAGCTTAGTGCAGCTGCAGATTCGCTTTCTGCTATCAATTTGTCCGGGAAGGCATCGTGAAAGGGTTTGTACTGCGGAGGGGTCCGCGTGCCATTTGTGAAAGAGTACTGAGGTGTATCGCGGATACCTTCTCCCTGGTAGTTTAGGCTCAGGATGTCGAAGGCCTTAGGGAAGGTCATGTTTGGTTTCGCTACATTCATGGATGCTGTGACGGGTCGGCTAGGGTCTTCAGATTTGACAATGTCGTTCAGTAGGCGACCTATCTCGTAGCCTCGGTCTCCGCAGCATGTTTGCTCGCCGACTTCGTTGCCTACGCTCCAAGAATAAATGGAAGGGTGGTTGCGATCCCTTCGAATAAAGGACCGAAGATCAGCTTCGTGCCACTCGGGAAAAATAAGGTGAAAATCATTGTCTGTCTTCTTTTGTTCCCAACTATCGAAGATTTCGTCCATGACTATAAAGCCCATGCGGTCCGTCATATCGAGAAGCTCTGGTGCCGGTGGATTATGCGCCATGCGGATAGCGTTCACTCCGAGTTCTCGCAGAGCCTCCAATTGGCGTTTAGCTGCACGATCGTTCCACGCGCTCCCGAGAGCTCCAAGGTCATGGCAGTGTTGGTCTACGCCTTGGATTCGTAGGCGTTCTCCGTTGACGAAAAGCCCTTCTTCGCCACTGTAGATAAACGACCGGATGCCGAAGTGTGTCTCGTACGTATCGATTGAAATACTACCATTGTGGCTCAACAGATTGGTAACAGCGACGTACATATTCGGTTTTTGGTTTGGCGGAGGTCCCCACGGTTGAGGGTCCTCAATTACAACTGTAGCGTTCGCGGATTGTTTGCTTCCCAACAGCATTAGACTTGTCCTAGGAAATTCTGCCACCTTTTCTCCCATTTTCTTCACCTCCGCATCGTAGATGTATATGTCGGTAGCAACTTCAACCTCTTGACTCGCATTATTTTTGGCTTCCACATGGACTGAGATGTCGACAGTCGCAGCTTCTGCACTTGCATCTCGTGTCGAAACATGGACCCCCCAATTGGCAACGTGAATCGGCTGGACCTTAGTCAACCAGACATTTCGGTAAAGACCAGCACCTGGATACCATCTCGAAGAGTCTATGGGATTGTCGAGCCGGACCACCAACTGGTTCTCGTTACCTGGCTGCAAGTGAGGCGTGAGATCAAGACGAAATGAGTTGTACCCATATGGCCAACCGCCTACCAAATTGCCATTGAGCCAAACCATAGCGTAAGACATTGCACCATCGACGTCAAGGTAGATCACCTTTCCCGCATCTTCATTGTAAATTGATAGCTTCTTTCGGTAATACCCTACTCCTTGCGACGGTAACCTTGCCATTCCACCTGTGATAGGAGTTGGATCTCCGATGTAGTATGGCCCTTTGATTGCCCAATCATGCGGCAACGTAACATCCTCCCAAGAACTGTCATCGAAGGAGGTTTGTATGTACGGAATGTTGACAGTAGGGCTACTCGATGGGGCTTCGTAGTGCTTCGACACATCTTGTATGAATTCGTTGGCGCCTGGGAGAATCCATGGTCTCAAATATGTGACGTTCCCTTGGGGCGTATCGGTGCGGTTGTCGTAAGTGATTCCATCCGGGTTCTTCTCAGATCGCCAAAACCGCCAGTCTGTATTGATACTTACGCGTTCACGACCGGTAGATGATGTATCGTAATTTCGTGTTTGCACAGCATATGCTCCCACTAGATCGTTATATAGGGATAAGAACCCTAAGCAAATGAACCTAGTAGCCATGCTAGCCGTCTAGCGAAGCTGTGTTCGCCTCAGAAGCTATTGGCCATGCCCAAGACCTTATAGTCCCTTTGGTAGCGAGAGGACCAACTACTGTAAGAGGAGCTGGAACATGGTCTCCTGCGTCACTTCCCCTCGTGCGTAGTCGGTATCTTCCGCGACTGTTATGAAAAATACTTGGGATGAGATATTAGCCTGAGGAGCCGCTGATCTACCCCAGAAACTACCCTGATCAAGACCAGGTCTTCATCTTTCCTAGGTACGGGTACCCGCTCTCCGCATCAAAGGTAGCAATCCTCTCCACAAATAATCCTCCAATAACGTTGTTTTCCGCTAGAGCATCATGATGGGTGCTCGTAGACGGAATATGATACCATGTAGAGAATGTGACTACGTAACTGTGTCGGCGATACTCCGTACAAGGTCGTTGTTGATGAGCATGTTCGAGGGGTCGGCTCGGTCGAACAACCTCCGGCTGGAGCTACCCCACACATCCCCCAAAGCTAGGTAGCTCGGGCGCATGAGCATGCGATGGAGAATTGGACGGGTTCGGAAACTTTGAGGAATATTGATGATCAGCTGGCGTGAAGGGTTGCTGCCGTGGCCGTTCAACTGAAGCAATTATGTGTAGGCATCTGAGAAGCAATTTGCCCCACCGATTGTGTATCTATCGATGTGGCGTTCTTGGTCGCTTATAAGGATAGTTTATTCGTTCACGCAGACGTGCGGATGACAGGGATCGAGGATGCGCGTGTGCTAAGGGCTGAGAGGTTCTACATTGCATGCATCAGCAAATTCGGAAAAGATGTGCGATACTTGCTCGCAGCCCGCCTGTAGGACGACGCCACGCAGTTGTTTGCGATGCGAACACAAGAGCGATGGCGCTGCTAGGGTCTTGACCCTTACTTCTCGTTCTTGTGCCATCTCATCACTTTTTCGTCCCTGTTCCAAGAAAGCGTAACCCTCCCGCGACTAAGCTGATGAGCTATGTCAGATTCGAGGCTAGTCTTCTTCTTCGACATCGACAACTGTGTTAGTATTACCCTGGAGCCATCTATCGGGTAGAGACTAATCGCAACTCCAGCTATATTCAAAAGGTAAACTTACATTACTCACATGGGGTATGATCGCTAAAAGATGCGAAAGACAGAAAAGTTCGAGAAACAAATACAATACTCGTCCACAACTTTCTCATGGACAGACTTTCTCTCGATCCAGAAGCCACACAGCAGCTACTAACCAAGTATCAAAACGAACACAGTCTGATCGCCGAAGGAGCTGCACTGAACCACGGCATCAGCCCTATCGATTTCAACAGCCATGTAGACGACGCACTCCCGCTCGAGGAGCTCTTAGCGCCTGATCCAGAACTCTATAAGATGCTTCAAGAGATGGACAGAAGCAAAGTGAAGCTGTGGCTACTCACTAATGCTTACGTCAACCACAGCAAACGTGTTATCCGCATACTGGGGATTGAGGATCAATTCGAAGGCCTGACTTATTGTGATTATGGAGTTACACCTATGCTTTGCAAACCTAGCTTTGAAATGTTCAGGAAAGCAATGAAAGAAGCCGGTGTGAACGACGTGGAAGCCTGTTACTTTGTTGGTATGTATGTCACGACAGGTTCGAGCGCAATGACATTGCTTATTGTGATACAGACGACTCGGCTGAGAACTGTCGGCAGGCGGAGAAGCTTGGCTGGACTACCGTTCATCTAGTGGAGGAAACGGCTCAGCCTCCAGCGGAGTATGTTTGCGGACATAAGGTCGCCCGCTTGATAGAGTTGAGGGAGCTCTTTCCTCAATTTTTCATTTGAAAGTGAAAAAGTTGGTTCTGAGAGGTATCACGGAATAGTTACAACGCTGTACCTTTCCACACACTTTATGTAGGGGGGTTATAACACCTTTTGATAGATTGGTAACACTTCGGCAAATCGTTGCAGAGATTCGATCTGTCCACATCATAGCAATCAACCCAAAGGAAACTCCAAATGCCTATGCATCCGAGAGACGATTTCCGCGTAGTCTGGCTCATCTTCCGCTTGGATTTGCTCATGGCGGATGAGAAAGTCCAGCATCAGCAAAGCGCAGTTTGGTTTGAACTTTTTATCTGATAAAGCCTGCTTGACCTCGGCCACTGTGAGCAATTCAAAAGCCTCTACCGAGTCGTCGTTCGGAAGTAGGGTGTCTGGTAGTGAGCCGGTCAGATCCAGATCAAATACATAGGTACGCTCCGGTTGAGCTAAACCGACTTCCCCTCCCGACCCCTCGCCCGAAACGTAGAAATATGTCACACTGCCAGCGTCCTTAGCATTCCTCATGATCTCTTCTCCTAAGGATGCTTCCTCCATACTCTCTCGTAGTAGGCAAGACCATGGTGTTTCCCCAGTGGTCAGTCCTCCACCAACTGAAGTGTCAAGCATGCCCGGAAACTTCGCTCGATCACTAGAACGTCGCGGCACCCAAACTTCCATTACGCCCTCCTGATCTCTGCCAGAGCTCCAACGAAAGACGATCATGTTAACACCGTATGTGACGACTCCAAAGAGGGGGCTGGCGCTACGATCGATGCTGAAAAGCAACTCCTTATCCAGTCCATACACTGGAAATAATTCATCTCGCCAGTTCTTAAGCGCCTCGAATTTGTTTGTGTCTCGCATCCGGATCATCGTCTTTTCTATGATGGCTGTTCGTGTAGGCTCGTCGTGACCACCAACTAGTGTGAGTGTCCGTGGGATGCTATCCTGATCCAAGGCCCACTCTGATAGGCCATCAAATGCCAGAGCTACTGAGGGAGTCATGTAGCCAAGCGTGATGTCTGGGAGTGAAGTAGTGCGGAAGTGAACATAATGATTGAGTCCTTCAGGTCGGTCGTTCGGGGTGTTGGCGAAGTATGGAAATGCGTCGGCAACACTGATGATGTCGAGATAAGAGTAAGCCATTATGAAAGAGAATCAAGTAGCGAAGGCTGATTAGTCTGGTGTTACAATAGATGGAGAAGTTTTCGCTATTGTTGTGATCCCAGAGGAGGTGCGTTCGGATCATGAGAGGCTGTCATGCGACAAACAGCGCTTAGGCCGAGAAGACGCACCAATGTCTGTACATGTTCCTAATGCGCACCACTGACAGCCCCGTAACAGACACGCTGTTTGCCCTACGAAGACGTGTCCGCAGGATGCGCGCTGTGAGTGAGCCCACCTTGAGCACATGCATGCGCGAACACACTAAAGCAGCGTCGCGCCATGAGCGCAGCCTGCTGGGATGAACACGTATGGATTGCGATGTGCATGTATTGCGGCATGCGCATGTCGATCGCGGTTTCCGACTCATACAGGTTCGACGTTCCCGTGTGTGTAATTCTGAAATGCGTTTTGACCGGTCTCTGGGAAAGAAACTACGTACCTTCAATCGTGGGTGGCAGGGAAGCCACACTTGGCTAAAACGGAGTGGGGTTAGCGGGCTCTCTACTGGGGGAACTTGCAGGTGAACTTCTGTCCTTCAAAACATCCACTTCTTTCTGTATTCACAGCTCTTGAACAGGGCATCTGATCTCTCCATCCGAAACAACTTCAAACCAGCTGTCATGCTTGTGCCGAAAGAATTGTGGTCGTTGACGGCCACCGAGGCTCTGAGCTTGATTAGCCGGGACCAACTCACTGTTGAGGATTATGCGAAAGCGCTCCTGAATCGCATTGAGTCGAAAAACACCGTCGTGAAAGCATGGCAGTATTTTGGTATAATCTTTGAAGTAAGGTACAAATAAAAACCCTGCCTAATGCTGTATCAGATGCAGACCTCGTCTTGAGCCAAGCTCGTGCTCTCGACCGCCTACCACGCGATCAAAGGGGTCCACTTCACGGGGTTGCTATCGCAGTCAAGGACATAATGGATACGAAAGGTCAGACTAGATCTCTGGCTGGATGAGACTTTTCTGACTTAGTCAAGACATGCCAACGGAATATGGCTGCCCTTTGTACGAAGGCAACAAGCCGAACGCAGATGCTTCAATCGTTGCGATAGTCCGGATGGCTGGTGCATTTATACTGGGTATGCCCTTTGATTTGAGTCAGAAATCATGCTGAGAGGACATAGGCAAGACAACCACTACTGAATTTACAGTCCTGAACTCAGGACCTAAGACCACAAATCCACACGACCCAGCTCGCACGCCAGGCGGATCTTCGGCTGGTTCTGCAGCGGCAGTAGCTGACTTCCAAGCACCCCTCAGCTTCGGGACACAAACTGGTGGGAGTGTTATTCGCCCCGCTTCTTACACTGGAACATTTGCTATGAAGCCAACATTCAACACAATAGCTGGCGGGGGCATTAAAGTCGCATCCCTGGAATTTGATACCATTGGATACTTTGCTAGAAGTATCGATGACCTTCAACTTCTCTCCAAAGTGCTCAATATATTCTTGGAAGACTCCGTCAAGGAAATCCCGTTGCGGGAGATCAAGGTCGGATTCGTGAAGTCGCCATATTGGCCAAGAGCTGGGCCTGGGACGACGGCCGCAATGAAGAACGCTGCCAACATTCTCCGTGATCATGGTGTCACTGTCGAAGATGTTGAGTTTCCAGTCGAGTTCAATGACGCCAAAGCTTTGAGTAGGATGTTCAAAGTGATCTTCGTGACGAACTCGGGGGCGTCGTTCTACAAAGACTATCTCATGGACACAACGAAGACAAAACTGGATCCGGAGGTCCGCGCATTCGTCGAAGATGCTCCCAAGTTCCATCGTGAAGAAATACGGCAAGCTTTCGATGATTACGCAGCGCTACGACCTGTATTTGATGAAATGGCCTCAAGATACTCCGCTCTGGTGACCCCAAGCGCACCCGACGAAGCACCTTTGGGGATAGGTGATATGGGTAGCGCTACATTCAACTCTGTGTGGACGGTGAGCAGTCTGATATTCTTTAGTATTGCTACTAGCTAACATGACCTTGTCAGGGAGCTCATATGCCAGTGATTCAGGTGCCCGCTTTCGCAGGACCGAATGGTATGCCAGTCGGCTTGTCTCTTGTGGCCCCAAGATATTGTGATCAAGACCTGCTGAGCATTGCAAAGATCCTCAGCGAGCCTCTCATGAATGAAGGGAGCTGGCAGAACAGATGATGTATTCTGGCGCGGGTCTTCAGCTCTACTCGGTTGTTATGGCCTTGCAACGCGTAGAAGAAAGAACGCCATTATGTCGTTTGTCTCAGCCTTAGATGTGCCGTGTTGAACATAACTATGCACTTGATGATATTTTCATAGTCTTACTTTGGTCAAATATTCAGAGTCACGGAGTCTTATACTGACGTTCTTAGGCCTATAGAAGGCTCTTACCCGTTCTACGGTCCCTAACGCGACGCAGTAGCATGCAAGATATAGCAGTGCAGCAATAGAGAAAGATGGTCAGTCGATCCTCGCGACTACAGGGATGTGACCAGCTCAAGCGGTAGACATTGCAGAATTGTAGAATACCGGTAAGATGTATAGGCAGCCTTGAGTACACTCAGTCAATCATATCAGTGATGTGTCACCTCTGCGCTTCCCTATCCAGTCATACCTAGGCAGCTTTGTAGGCGTGTGTGGAGCCGCAGTTCGGTGACGGTAGCCTGCATGATGCTTACCCCTCCCTGGGACATACGAAAGAGCTTCTTGGCAAAAGCATTTGGGCCGTTTTCCAGTTAACTACTTAGAAGAAGCTAACTTAACGGTAGGTCGTAAACAGGTCTTTCGATTGCCAACCATCAACTTGTTGTATTTGTCACCATGCGTTTTAAGACTGTATGTTCGTTCCTGTGTGTTAGAATGCGTACATGCACTTACCCCGCAGTTGCGTGAAACAATTTCCACATGGCGCTGCTTTAGAGACGAATGTTGACCGGAAACAATCGAGTAGGGCGAAAGGAAAAGCAAAGAGGGCAACGTGGGGTGGAGAAGGTAGAGAGGGCAAACGAGGCAAGACAAGGCAAAACAGGGCAGCAAGACTGAGGGCGAAGAAAACGCCAAGGAGAAACACCACATTGGTGTCTTGCATACTGTCAAGGATACTAACTTGCGCGATGCGTGACTTTTAGGGTCTGGTCACTCGTCACTCTGAGTTTGCTTGCTGGGTTGGAGCTCGAAAAACGCATTGTGGTAACTGCTACAAGTGATCAAATCTGCCTCACCACCAGGCTGTATGCATTAGGCAACAAGTTTCCAGACACGTTCTCCAATGTGTCGTATTCAGGAAAATAGGGCGGTTAGAATTGCTGCGTCTTGCGATAGTGGCGAAGCCACAACTGCGTGTCCCATGCCCAATGCCATCATACTGCGTGTTATGGGAGGATCTCCAGCCGCGCTTGAGCCTTCCAGCTTGTTCTGCCCTTCATTCAGCCCGCTAGTCTAGGCTCAGATTCTGTTTGGGGGTGTCATTACCGCTACATGCATCGGCGGAGTATCACTGAGCCCGAGAATAACACTTTAGGAAGGCATAAGAGATAAATGTCTTACGTCCTTCTGGTGCCTTTTAACCGGCCATTATCTCGAACCGTGAGTCTCACACGTTAGTTTGGATGCGTTTGAGCGATGAAGTGTATTTTGAGTCTGACGAACTTCTAGATCTTCTACACTCCAGTGAGCTGTCACGCAAATGTCAGAATCATCCTTTTTACCAGTCTTATCGCCTCTCGCAGGAAAAAGAATCGTTGTTGTAGGAGCAGGTATAGCCGGTTTGAGTTTCGTCGTCTCACTTCGCCAAAGCTGGACCAAAGCATTAGGGGAGTTTCCAGAGGTGATCCATTATGAACGTGAAGGAGAAGTGCCTGATGTATCTCGGGAGCGCTACTCTGTTAGGATACGTGGCGATGGATCTTCCGCTGGGTCTTATGCTCTGCGTAAGATGGAGCTCCTCGAGACATCTCTAGCAAGTGGCATAACACGACCTGGATATGCTCGAGGCCATACAACAGGATACATCACCGTCAAGTCTCTCAACTGGCTCAGGCTAGTAAGTCTTCGTAAAGGTGCGCCCGAGAACCCGCTCGCCTCGGATTTTCGCATTGGAAGATTGGCCATGCGCCAAATTCTTCTCAAAGTCGCACGAGAGCATAGTAGGATGGTTTGGGGTTCGACATGTAATGAGATCTCATCGAAACAAGACGGACGGATTTGCATAACCTTGGACGATGGCAAGGAAGACGAATGCGACCTCTTGATTGTCGCCGACGGCGCAAACAGCAGGATCCGAAAGTACCTTCGACCTCACGATCAATTAGCCTTCGCCGGACCAATAAATATTTCAGTGGTCTCACGCTTCGCTCTGCCACCTCCACCACCTTTCAATAGAGACTGGGGAATTGTGGCCGGTGGCAACGGTCTCGCACTATTTACTTGCCCGGTTGACGACACAACGATACACTGGAGCCTCAGCTACATGGCCCGAGAGCCTCGTGATCTACCCAGACGACCACTCTCACCTGAAGTCAGGTCACATATCCTTTGCGAGGCTCAGGAACGAGGTCGGGTGTTTGGAGAGCCGTTCCGCATACTGCTAGAGAGTAGTGACGCCGCAACAGTCAGAGTGTTCAACTCATGGGACAAGGAGCCGTTCGCTCACGGAGCAAAGAACAATGTGCCTCCAGGCGTTGTATTCATCGGCGACAGTAACCACGCCGTCACTCCATTCGCTGGTAGTGGTGCGAATATGGCTCTCTTAGACGGACACGACCTTGCCGAGTGTCTTTGTACGCACGATTCTGTCGACAAGGCTATTGAAGCGTACGATAGGCGTAGCCTGCCACGTGCTCGCATTTTGCTTAGAAATTCGCACCGCACTATCACGGTAGCTCACGCAACTGGCTGGAGATGGTATCTTATCCAAATGATACTTCAGCTGTTAGGCTTTCTGCAAATGCTCTTCAAGCGATAGATCCAATACAAATCATCGTACTCCTGATTGAATTAACAATGTCAAAATATGCTGAGATCAGAAACTACATACTAAAAGAGATGAACTATTGCAACGAAATGAAGGTAATGCTGCCAGACGAATGGCCCAAAACCGCAAAGCCTTCATGTGTTATCACGCTAGTCGTCTTATACTCTTCTGGCAACCAAAGCGCTTTCTCCTTCCCTTTCAACAACCAGTCGTCTGTGACAAAGCTCGAGTGTAGAGCTTCTGACGAACATGAAAACTTGTCGCAAATTGTAGGATTCACTGTCAAGACACCTCGATCGGTCTCGATTTGGCAGCTAGCGGAGAAACTCAAGTTGCGAAGAGCCACGCCTGCATCAACCCTAGCAAGCAAGGCTTTTGTTTGGCAGTCCCAATAAGTCATGATGTGATCGCCCGACGAGGAAATCAAGAATTTAGAGTCTGGCGAAAACGTAACCGATGAGAATCCTTTTGTGTGTTGCTGGATAACGCCACATGATTTACCATCGGCGGTCCACAGCCTGATGGTCCCATTCATCGAGCAGGAGGCAACCAGATCGCTCAATGTGGAAAATGCGACAGAAGTGACCTCATCTTCGTGGCCTGCCAACGCCGTACCGACTGCGTTTGAGGTTTCTATGTTCCATAGTCGTACAGTGGTATCTGCCGAGCCGGACGCAAGAAGACGACCGTCCGGCGAGAAAGCAATACTGGTCACGGTATCGTGATGGCCTTCGAGAGGGTCTTCGGCGGTGCCTAGCCATGTTTTCCATAGCCTAATTGTCTTGTCGGAAGAGTGCGATGCAAGTAGATCGCCACTCGGAGAGAACCGGAGACCAAGAACCATGTCGGTATGGCCCTGGAGAACATGTAGTATAGTGCTAGTGGAAATATCCCATAAGACTACAGTCGCATCCGCAGAACTGGAGGCCAGCAATCGACCGCTGGGGTGGAAAACTAGACACGTGATACGTCTTGAGTGCCCGACCAATTTTGCCTGCTCAACACCACTAATGGTCCAGATCTTGATAGTAGAGTCCTGTGATCCGGACGCCACAAGTTTTCGATCCGGTGATAGAGCTAGACATAACACCTCACTTGTGTGTGCTTTGCCTCCTTCGGTCGCACCTTCAAGAAATCCGGAGTCATGTCCATATGCTTGTTCAAGCGAGCCAGGTCCAAGCTGGTGAGAAGCAAAATCGTTCAATTTACCCCTCGGTTCCCCGGTCACGGCGTCCCAAAACCGTATCTCGTCGTTATAAGCACCAGCTGCAAGTATCTGGCCGTCTTTTGAATAACAGACGGCGTTGATACCGCTGACATGACCCTCGAGGGTGTTAGAGAGGGAACGATTGCTAACATCCCACAGCCGCATGGTCTTATCTTCTGATCCGGATACTATCAGGCGCGCGTCTGGTGAGAAAGTCACAGCCGAAACTTTCTTAACATGTCCCTTCAGAGTGAACAACTCCACTCCCGAGATGGTGTCCCACACCTTGATCGTCATGTCATCTGATCCAGAGACTAGTTGTGTGCCATCCGGGGAAAATTGTACCGTGTTGACCGGGCCTGAATGGCCATCAAGTACGAGATGAACTATATTCTTCGAGACATCCCAGATCCGCACCAGCCAGTCAGATGTAGCCGAAGCAAGGTACTTCCCATCAGGAGAGAAAGCAATAGAGTTGATGCAGGATAGATCACCTTCCCATCTCTTGCACTCTTCCCCGTTGGTAGCGTCCCACAATCGGATGGTCTCATCCATTGATCCAGATGCGAGTATACGGCCATCTGGAGAATAGACAACGGTGTTCACCCATCTAGTGTGTCCTTCCAGGTTGAACATGACAGCTCTCGTTTCTCTGTTCCATACCATTACGGAAGCATCGTCCGAACCTGATGCAACCATCTTCCCGTCCGGCGAGATCGCCACAGTCCCTGTCTTGTCTTTTTGACCGTGATACACAAAGAGAGCAGTTTTCGACTTGACGTCCCATACTCTGATCACTGGGCCAATCGATGCTGAAGCGATCTCTTTTCCGTCTGGACTGAACGCTAAGTCGTTGACGAACATGTATTCGTCCTTGGCATCTGGAGCGATGGCATCCACGACTTTCACTTGACCGAACCATGGATGCAACTCACTCCAAAAGTGATCCTTCAGTCCGTTTGAAGGGCGAAGGAAGACAAGCGCGGCACAATAGATCTGCAACGGCGTTCGTTCCATAACCAATTGGAATGAGAAGAAAAACCTTCGTGCATCCTTTAGAAATGACAGTTGACCAGAATTGTCTGAATCCTCGAATGACGGTTAGCAGAATGACGAGAGGCATTAACAAGATGCCTTGGGTACATACTGGGAGCAGAGCCTGATACATGCGGATAATTGCGGCTATCTCTGAGCCTTTGCCCATGAGATTCATTGCTTCGAGCCAATGAAGATAATGTTCTTTTAGGAAATGATAAGCCGTGTCATTCTCACCCAGAAGCATACCGCTTTGTCGACAATGCTGAGCCCAATAGAGACATGCGTATTGAAGTTCTGGAGGAATGCACCGCTCTATGCAGGACTGGTCAACGTCGGTCACGAGAACACCAGGAGATTGCAAACCGCATATGTCGCGTTTGAGCATACGGCGCATGATTTCAATGCAGTCTTCGGCTAGTGCTTTATGTGCCTGCTTCTTGTCAACCCAGAGATCTGGGTTTTTGCATCGGCTCTGATCAATGATAAAGTCGCGGAACGTCGGATGATGCAGACGGATCGGGCGGCTTTCCTCGCTGGGAATATTGAAGATTGTATGTAAATCTTCTAGCGTCTCTCTGATCTCTTCGACATCCTGATCGAGTAAGCTCGCCAGGGAAACGGATGACAGGGGCGAAAATAGAGTGACTATATGTCCAACTACGTCTCTTACTGATTCAAAGAGCATCTGCTTCTCCCCCTCATCATACTCTTGTTGGACCAAACTTTCCAATACGGTGGTATATATCTCGTCAAGCTGCTTCTGTGGGCCTCCGTCTGAGGTATGACCTTTGATGATAGTCTCAAGTCGTTTTGTGGCGAATTTCTTGCCATTCCGAATCCAACGGCAGGCAGTGGACGCCCATATGAAGAGACCACTGGAGATCTCTACGAGACGCGCGACGATTCTTGAGCCTGGCCATTCCGGGGCTAGGCGTCTCTCCACTCCGATTGCTGCAAGGTTCTCTTGAAAGAACAAATTGAGATCGCGATTAATAAGTGCTGGCCGGATGTCGTGGAGAAAGAATACCTCCCTCTCGGCCTCCGGTAAATGGGAGAATCCGGATCTGATAGGTGTTTCTGGCCGACTTGTAACCAGAACTCTGAGACGAATCCGCTCGAGAGTTCTCGTTGTGGATATGAGTCTAAGAATGATATGAACATCCTGTTCGTTGCCGCATTCATCTAATGCGTCAAGAACGATGATGAGATTATGGGGTTCAAAATTCTCGACCTTTGAAAGGGGGTTAATGATCAACTGGTCCCACTGGTCACGGAGGGATTTCTGAGCAATATCCGGGTTCGCCATGATGGATTCGCAAATGTGGCGTTTGACAGAGGAAAACCTAGTAGCTAGCTGAGAGGCTAAAGTCGTAAACAGAAGATTGGCATGACTGACAGCTCCCCCTCCTTTTTCAAAAAAGAAACTGCCGCCGAGAATGTCATTCTCGCTAAACGTTCTGGCTATTGTGCGAGCCACAGTGGACTTTCCTGTACCTGCACTACCGTTGAGCCAGTAGATACATCTGTCGTCCGCCGCATTTGCCCATTGTGAGAGATCCCCAAGAAGTTCAACTCTGGTGTTCGGTAAACAAGTCGACCCATACTGGTTGTCAAGAGAGTCGTAAGCCGCTTGTGAGGCGATGGGCAAGCCCTCGATCAAGCGGTCCCATTTAGCAACTTCTCCATGCTTCTTCTCAATTTTTTGGCGAAGCCGAATCATCGCATTCGTTGTTTCGCCGTATCGAAGCGTCATGTCTATGTCAAGAATGCCAAGTAGACAGTATGCTTGGTCTTCCGCACGTGTTGTTTCTCGAGTGCTTGCCCAAGAAAGCCGTTCATAAGCACTGAAGCCTGACAAGTCCGTTCCTTCAAGTGCATCAGGGGGGATACCTGTAATCTCTTGGATTATGTGCTTCAGAGACTTTTTGTCGCCCAGAAAAGTGCCTTCGGCAGAGTAAAACTCAACGGTCGTAGGAGCCAGAAGCTCCTGCAGAGTCCAACCTCGTGTAAACCATCGGCTTCGCCGAAAATCCCCTTCCCAAGATCGCGAAGCACCCGGCCATCCTACGCCGTCATCTACTGCAGAGACGTCTGTGAGATATGCGTAGCATTTTCCAGCATCGCGATACCATCGAAACATAGATGTGATGGCCTCCTGCAGTTCAGAGCTCGATGTTTTATCGATGCAGCAAGTATCGATCCAGAAATGGTCGAACCCATCTCGGGCGGCTTGCTTGGCGCAAAATCGAAGTTTCTCATAGCTCTCAGACTTTTTTTCGGCGGATCCATTGACAATATCCTCGTGTAGGATCTCTTCTTTGCCGCCGATGAGCCAAGTATGTGAAAGGACGGCATATCTCGGAACGTTGTTTGGCCATTCCCTAGTTACAAATCTACCATCGGCGTCCTTGTAGAGCAACCTCATCGCGACGAGGGAAAAGATTCATGGAGCCAGACGGAAGCATATAACGAACAATCGGAGTAGAGCTCAGCATGAAAGGTAAAATAGTTGAAGCACTCTTGTTCCTTGTGATTGGACGAGCTTTAGGTAGCCAACCATGGAGCCAAAAGCAGAGCAGTGGCGTTGGCGCAAATGAGGTATGTAACGTATTGGTAAGGATATAAGGCGCTTGAGTGTGTGACAGGCAGCCTTAAGTATGATCCGGACCTGGGATGTGCGGAGACAGCAGCTCAAGGCGAACTGAGTGTTTTTGTACAGGCCAGACTGCAGTCTTCCCGATCCTCATCGGTGACAGCCAATAGTCCGTACGATCGTCATGATCTGATTGATCGTACTTCGATAAGGGATCCCGTGTGAAACTTGAGGAGTAGGCTGCCCAGTGGGTAATGCGCGCCCTGATCAGCAACGCTCTGCATATGTGCTTAGGGCAGCGACTCGCCCAGCCAAACACAGGATGACACTCAAGTGAAGGACTCTGTTAGGCGCCCGCCGGACACCGTTAAGCGAAAGACTCGATAACGTACAGGGTGCAATACATGTTAGTGTATGCCCAAGCACGAAGGAGGTGCCGAAACACACGATCAGGCAAATAGCGCACAAAGTGCGAAACAACACGCATGGTTCTTTACGTCCCAGTGTTGGAGGACCTCCAAAAAGAATCGTATAGGCACGGCCAGAGACGGCCATCAGACTGGAGGGCGCTAATCGTGACGTGGCGTGGCGCGATGCGACAAGGCCGCATAATTTCGTCGGGCTTCACTTGACCAGTTGGAAGCAAAGCTGAACACGTTCAGGGCAAGAGGGCAGTGCATTTTGGATAGCTCGAGCAGTCCATTCCGGAAGCCCTCCGTTATGCAGAATTGTGACGTGTGGGTTGGGTTCCCTTCTTGCAGTAGCCGATCCGCACCTGCGAGATAGATGCCTTTCTCTATAGGGTATCTCATCAACGCCCAGAACGCCACAAGCCGACCGTTCAAAAAGCCGACATTCCGGTAAACGATGACCACCAGCATACACTCTCAGGCATCGCACTCAGTCCAAGTTTGCATTCTTCAGCATCTCTCGCGTCTTGTTATACTCAGTCACCAAGCTGTTGGAACAGGCAAGCGCATATGGTGACGGAACGAACCGCGAGAGCTCTCACAACGTTTCGTCGAGTTGAATTTCGTCTGTCCCAGAAGGTTGACCGAACAACCGGATCAGCCCCTCTACACTCGGTATGCACATCGAAGACTTGCCTTCTAATCAGGCTCGCGGACGTTGTTTTCCACAACTTGGTGCTTCTTCTTTATCTTCTCATCCATAGCGACTGCTATACGACGGCGCTGCGTCCGAAATCAAGCTTCCGTTCCACCACGTGTCGCAGGAAGCCCTCTTCAGTCCTATGTCTATTGAGTAAAAGCATATCCCATGCAAACTAGCTGTCCCTGACTCTGGTGAGAGCCCTATCTATGTAGGTAGGGGTGTATTCGAATCCGGTGCTGGCACTCTGTAGCTGATGATCTAGCTCGTGGCGCACTCGGGATGGGGTCGTGATGGGTTTCGACGTGTTCGAGGTGGAAAGGTCTACGGAGTCTTGAAGTCACTGCGTCTTCTCCAGCATCATGTCCGCATCTCCATCTCAAGATCTCTGGTCTCTCCGCTCAAGTCCTGCACATCGTCTTGAGCCATTATCTGTGCGCTGGCGTCTAGATCTTGTATGACGCTCTCTAGGCCTCGTACTAGGGCTTCTATTTCGGCACGCTGTGCAGTAACAGTCGACAGCAGCTCGGTATTCGACTGCTGAGTCTCGGCGAGCTTAGTGTTCATCTCTGTCGCTTGCTTCTCGAGGTAAGGCATGAGGTGCGCCAAGTGTATTTCGGCCGGGGTAAGGGTATGGGGTCTTTGATGATGGGTTAGTATTGAATAGCGACAGTAATTGGTGCTTTTGCAGTACTCACGGCACAGGTGTCTCCACGGGTCCACCGTTGGCACTCGCTTCGGCGCGCCTCTTCCTTAATTTCGCATCTTCTATGCATTGGTCTAGCGAGTTGAGAAGCTTAACAACATTCCTCCTCTCCATGATGTCCTCGAAGTTGGTCTTCCATGTCCGGTCCAGCTGATCCACGATCTGCCCCCTCAAATTGTCCAATACTTCTGGGCTATACTGCGCGGCCGTAGGGAAACACGAAGCAAAGTTCTTGGCCGAACACTTGTCTAGGGTCGCTTTTGAAGCCTGATTGAAGACATTGATCAGACCTTGCGCGCGCGGGCCAGGAGCATCAGCAATAGGTCGGGCAGGTGTGGGAGACGGAGAGCGTGACTCTGGGTTCGTAGCGGTAGGCATAGTGGTGTAATCGTGAATCAGTATGGCGGGTGGCAGTCTGGCGTGGAGCGGTCCAGTGAACGTTATCTTTGTCGCATTGCCCTCATCGCAACCCAAGCGTGTTTACCTCGAGGCGCGCTAACCAATACACGTGATGGCGTGTCCCGCTAACCCAGCCCCACTTCCCCACAACCCTCTCCAGCAACTTTTTGTAACTTCCCGAATTTGTCTCTGTTCCTGGCATCGACTAAGGACGATCAACATGACTTTTACACGGTCTTCGGATACATCCGGGAGGTTAAACTATGCTGGCAGTGGTACAGACCTAAAACGCGCACGGCGAGGTAATGGACCCAAGTTCATCAACAAGCCGATAGCATTGCGCGAGTCTGGCAACATTGCCCGAACGAACGCGGAACGCGGAACAGACACCTCTGGAGGTCTATGTAATACACTGGATTTGTACGAGAGAACTCTCGAACAAACCTAGCTTTCTTATTATCGACTAACCTCACTTCTGATATTGTAGCAAAGAGACAAGGTTGCAAATCACGGCTCCCTCCAGACCTAAACATGGGGCCGCTCAATACGGACATGGCTATCAGAAACCAAGCCGTCGAATGAATACAAAGCCACTAATGAGCACAGCTAAAGTTCAGGATCCCAAGGAAGTCAGACAGCCGAGAAGCTTACCGGATCAACCCTCACGTGTCTATCGCGCCATCATCCAAGACACCGACCATCGGACCACACCCTCACTCCCGTCACAGATACTCCACTTCCAGGACGACCAAGCTGAACCTGCGAAGATAGATCATGTAGCTGAGAAGGAACCAACCATTAAGGAGTCAGGCTCAGTCCTAAAGAAGCGGGCATTCAAAAAGAATGAGGCACGCTCTGAGCGAAATGCGAAGAAAGGTATCTTTCGGGAGTACGAGGAGCAAGTCATGAACGAAGCGCGCACAGCCAAAGAGAAAACAAACATCAGGGTGACACGCTCAGTCAGGAAGAGGCGGGCTGCCACAAGGGAGGAAATGAAGCTCGGTGAAAATGTCATGTTCACCGTACAGCAGGCTATTACCGTATACGAGAAACAAGAAAAGGATGGTTTTCCGTTGGATCTACAGGTAGAAAGATTCAGGATGGGATGATGAGCAGAGAGAGAGGTGGCAGTGACCAGCATGAAACCTGGTAGAATACCCCAACTGGAGTCTTTGCAACAGAAATCGATAGCCTGAGGAAAGGGATCAGGATGAGATGGGCACTTGTTAGGTGCACTGTACGGGGGGAATGATCGCCCGTCAACGCCTGCAAGGCAAGTATGACTGCCCGTTGGACATAGGGTAGCAAGCAAAATCCTTCGACTGGAAGCTTCAGTCTATCAATAGCATGATCTTATGACCCACGATTGAAATTGTTTGTATTTGCAGACGCAATGATAAGTATAAAGAACTCCATTGTATGCAAAAAAATCTTTATTTTGATCAAGGTCAAGCACATAATCTTTCGTCAGCGATGGAAAAAGAAGGATTAAATTTTCTCCCTAGCGTGTCGCTACAACGAGACACAAGGATGAATCTCAACTATCAACGATGAATCGACCATGTTCCACAAAGCAAAGCGCTAATGTGCATACATCTACTCTTCGAGGTAAGAAAGCTTACGCATCTCACCCAACCTCGTCCTAGCCTGTGCAAGCGAGTTCTCGAGTTGCAGAATCTCGACCTAAATTGATCTGTTAGTACATGTTCCTTTTCAAACAATGTTCGGTGTTCACATACCTGCTGCTCCATCTGGCGAACCTTGAATTCGTGGTCGCCCAACTTGCTGTAGTCGACTTCCTGGCCTTCGTCCCTGTTCTTCTGGGCGATAATCTCCTGCACCTGCCTGACGAGCGACCTGCAAGCCGCCGTGACAGTCTTGGACGCACCCTCGAGCCTGTCTTGCGTCTTGCTCATGAAGCTGGCCTTGACACGACTGGCAGCCACCAACTGAGCGGTGGAAGCAGCCACGTCGTTGGAAGCGACAATGAGCTGCTCAGGCGAGTTACGACCGGAGATGACACCGTCGGCAGTCTCGATGAGCATGTTCGTTGATGTTGCAACGGCCTTGGCGGCGCTGATGAGACCTTCGGTCCAGCGGTTGTGCTTCTTGTAGAACTGCGTCTTGGACATGCTTCCTCGGCCTTCGCGAACAATTTCTTTCTGCGATTCTGTCGCTGCCTTGATGAGCTGGGCAATCGCGTTCGTGACGGCGATGGCGGCTTCGAGGATGGAGTCATGAATCTTGAGCTCATAGGTTGAGTACTGGTCCCTCGGCTTCTTCATCAGCTTCGCCAGACGCTCGGCAGCCGCGTCGATGGCGTTGGCTGCCTTGGTCAACTCGTTGTCGACCAGATCGCCAAGGTCGCCAGAGGCATTGGTGATCTTGCTCTTGGGCGCGAACGCGTCTGCAAGCTTAGACAAGCTCTGCAGGTTGCGCACAACCTCGGTGCTGTTGTTGATGACAACGTTGATCTTCTGCTCTGCGTCCATGTCGTACATGCGCACTGACTGAACGTTACGGAAGAATCTGATGGTTGACATTGCAGAAGTCCTTGCACCACCAATGAGCTGGTCGGCCTTGTTCTCGTCAGAAGCGAATCGCGTCAATCCCTTGGTATTCACCAAAACATCAACTATCGCGCCACCAAAGTTGTTAACGGCGTTAATGACCTCAGCGTGCTTTGCGTTCGGCCCGTCGGCGATAAAGTTGTTGAACGCGGTCGAGAATTCCATGGTACATGTCGATGCCCTCTCAATCTGCGAGAGCACATACGGACCAGTAGCGTTCTGGTTACCAGCCTGCATAGGAGAGTCTAGTTCGTACAACGCATCGTCGACACGTTGCACACCACTTTGGAGGACCGAGTCGATGATGTCGTTGATCTTCTGAAGACTGTCTTGGATAAGGGTATCCAAGTGGCCGTCCAGGACATCATCGTTCGTGCCGGCATTGAGCTTCAGCTCATTGAGTTCGAGCAGTGTCTGGTCCATACCGGCACGGAAAATCTCCAGCTCCTCCTCCTTGTCACGCAATTGACGCTCCAAGTCAGAATCACCTTCGCGGTACTTCATCTGGAACTCATCTAGCGTACGGGTCTTGTTTCGCAGCGCCTCCTCAAGATCTGCAATTTCTCGGTTGTGTCTCGACAGCATTGCCGAGAGTTCTGAGCCCTTGCCGCGCTCGAGGTTGTCGGCTCTATCCAGAGCAGCGCGGAGTTCCCGCTTCAGTTTCTCGGTCTCCTCGCGGTGACCACCAGTGTGGCGGTCCTTCTCCATGAGTGCTCGGTCGCGCTCACGGATCATATCTGCCAGCTCCAAGTTCTTGGTCTTCAGTTCGCGTTGCAGCCTGTCCCTGCTATCTATGGCTTCTTGGGCCGAGTTCGCCTTGAGCTGAACTGTCTTGAACTTCTGCAGCAGTTGAAGATGCTCATGACGCAGTTGCGAATACAGCTTAGCCAACGACTCGTACTTTGATCTCCATGTATTGAGCTGCTCCTGAAGTGCCCTTATCTGATCGTCTCGCGAGCCCATTTGCTGTTGGAAGTTTTGATTCATTTGGTTGATCTCGCCTTCTAGAGCCTTCATCCTCTGGTCGTATTGTTGTAGCATGAGCTGGTCGCGTTCGTACTGTGCGCGCGCATTCAGGTTTTCCCGCTCAAGCTCAGCAAGACGCCCCTGTGTCTGCTGTTGATACTGATCGCGCATGAGTTGCTCTTGCGCCAACCGAGCTTGTTCTGCTTGGAGCCTTTGTTGCTCTTCGAAGTCACGTTGTGCTTGCATCGCTTGCTGTTGCTGCTGCTGTTGAGCCTCCTCCCATTGTCGCTGTAGTCGCTGCTGTTCGGCTTCGTATTCCTCTTGCTGCCTACGCTGGTTGTCTTTCCAAAACTCGTTGATCGGCTCTGGGTCGACCGAGGGAGCGCGTGTGGGTTCCGCAGGCTTTTCGTTTTGTGGTCGTTTAGGGAGCGCCGGCGCACTCTCATCTTCAGAAAGCAGGTTTGGTGGTTCTTGTGGCAGCTTTGGTACTGTGATGAGGTTTGTCAGGTATCGCAGATTCGAGCATTCGTAGTAGAACTTGACGAGACGGTAATGCTGCGCATCGTATCGTCCGCGTAGAGGCGAGAGCGCTTCATCGTCACCGAGTGCTACACTGGTTAGCTGGGTTGCAACTTGGCCGAAGTCCTGTCACTTACTTGTATGCATCGCGCGCAGCATGCTAGTGATGAACTTGTAGATACCATACGACTCCTGAACCAACGGCACTAACGCTGCTATCCTGCACTCATTGTTCGCGCCGCTTCGGAAGTGAGAGAAGATGAGCTTCTGGAAAGCATCGATCTGATCCTGTAGGGTCATAAGGTCCGAAATGGTTTCATACCCCTCGTTGGGGTCGTTGATCGACTTCAAGCTGATGTACTCCTCGTATTCGAAGGTTCCTGTTCCAATCAGCCCAATGCTTGTGCCATGCTACCAACTTTCGTACCATTGAACTCCGGGTGTTGTCGGTGGAAGGCAAGCTTGGCCATGAGGTAGTAGATGTACTCGGAGATAAGCGGCGCATATCCTCGCATGCCTTCGCCGACTGAGGAGCCCCGTGATAAGCTCTCAAGCCAGCTGGTGTTCGATTGCGCCTCCTTGAGAACGATGGGATGGCCTTCCTGTAGGACCTTGTGGACCGTAATGAGCGCTTTGAATGTTTGCACCTCGTCGGCGAGAATTGGCTGCCTGGAACATGCTATCAGCATTGGTCGCAGTTTGGGCACTATGGATGCGCCTTGGTTGACCTACACTTTCATGCCCTGCCAGAAGGAAGCAGAACTCTTGTGATCCCACGTGTAGACAATGCATGCTCGCACATGTTTTCCTATGCCAATATAAGCCTCGCTCGCGTTCTCGGAGAGTTCGGCACGTACTCTTGGGTGAGACCTCTTCGATACTTGTGGCTTTACGAATGTTTATGGCAAGCTCCGACTCCTGCCTGTAGTATTCTTTAGTCTGTACTCTGAACAATGCAGCGACGGGTTCCTATGTCTGTCTGGCCCAGTCCGGCATGATGGCGATGGTATACGTACTTCCCCATGTCCACGTTGCGCGAGCTTCCGTAGAGCGCCATCTTGCTCGCCGTAAGCCCCTTCTTGGTTTAGTTGTTGGTAGTATCAGGTAACTGTAGAAATCAAAGGCTGTGGGTCCGTTTCGAGAAGGCGCGCAAAAGTAATGCGCAGGAATGAGGAGGTGTGGGGATGAGTTAAGTGGTTGCGCTGTTGGGGTCAGTCAACCATCAGAGGAGCTCCTACTACCTACTCGACCGACCCTGGGAGGTGGTTCGTGCTGCTTGGCGCTTCGTCATCGCCTTCACCCGCGACGAGGCATCGCGCGCGATAATTGGTTGCTGCCCAACTAACCTTCTTACATATCCCATTGTATCCTAGGAGTACTTGCAGGAAAAACCTCTTTACTCTAGCCATAATCCCCCTAAGGCGTGTCTTGCGCAACCCGTGCCGCGAACTCCTCCCCCCGGGCTGTGCATCCTGGCATAAACTGTTGCCTTCGCCATCGACTAACAACGCATACGCGGCTGCATGCGCAACCGCCTCGGAGTCTGAGTTGGCATTCGTGATGGAGGGTGAGAGGATGCATCTTCACTAAATGGGGCTGCATGGCTTCGCTGCATGCACCCTCGAACCGCGAACTGTACCGATCACGCATGGCCAGCGCAACGATCATCAGGAACTGCTATGTCATTTTACATGATATGCTCGGATGCGACTCAAGGGTATAAACGCCATACAATGCTACTAGTAATACAATATTGATGCCCTATGACGCCGTGACGAAAGGCTGGACAACTTAAACCGCCTCACTTTTCCCTCCCTTGCTGAGATATGCTGCCATAGGGTCGGCAGCCATTGTCCTTTTGCGGCGATACTCTTCCATTTCTTCTTCGTTTACGCCTCCAGTCATCTCGTCGAGAGCTCGTTTCCGACTGGCAGCATCGCTTTTCGCTTTCTCAGCACGGTCTGGAGCATTCGGTACGTGTTCCTCGAGAGCCGCCTCTTCTTTCCATGCAATCTCTTTAGGAACTTCGTCCAGGTCAGCACCGGTTCGCATCC